CCCCCCCCATCTTGAAATCCTGTATACCCCTCTGGAATGTGTTTACTGGCTTACAAGTTACATGATTATATGTATTATTGCAAAAAATATATAAATACTAGTAAATACATGTATTTTAATATGATTTCTTATAGATGAATTTATACTGCATGAGGTATAATTTAATTGAAATTGAAGAATTTTTAGTGAAATATCATATTAGTTGTTTGGATGTTAAAAATATTATTTTTGAGTTTATAATTTATAATTTTTTTTTTTTTGGAAGGGGGAGGGGTGGGGTGTTGGGAAGATTACAACTCCGTCAATATTCACAGAGTTCAAACTAACTTCATAATCTCAGTTTCGGTGATTTTACAGTTTTCCAGAATGATCGCATGCATGGCATTGGATGTATAGACCAGCTTAAATAGTCCAGTTAAAATGCAATGGCAGCTAGATTCTGGAAAAGCTTTTGAGTCATTAGTAGCCTAAATTACTATGTCGATGTCATAACAATGAAATCCCTGAACAACAACCCCCGTCCTACCGATTTGAAAATTACATATAAAAGACCTATCGAAAACTTAAGTGCTGACGAGTGGTTCTGAGGCCGGAACGACCATGCAATACGCGTGGGAAAGGGGGGGGGTATCATATTATGTGAATTAATCATCTGTACTAGGATGACTTTGGCGTGGAGGTAGCCCCACCCCTCTCCCCAAAGAAATGGAGTTTTCGAGTTTGGTTAGACTTTTTTGTTTTGTGTGAAAATAAATAATCTGTACCTGGTCATCTAGAAAATGAATAATCTATCATTCACGAAGTGACATGAAAATAAATAATCTGACTCGAAAAAAAAATTGCACCCCCTCCCCAAACGAATCAAATGTTTGTCCCCTATAAATTATATTATTCTGCTTTGATGTCCTGTAATATCATTGATGTTTAAAAAAAGCGAAGTTTTAATACCATGAAGAGTTTCTGAACTTCCAAAATATCTTAAATTTTCGTGCAGTACACGCGTTTTTTGCAAGGTTATCTTCGTTTAGTTCACTCTTAATATTATATATGTACTCTCTACCCCTTCCCAAATACGCCAGTATATTCAAGACTGCTTACACGTGCATCCTATCCCTTTTCGTCCCATCAATTTGCCAATACATGTACATGTATATAAACCAATACATGTACGTGTATATATATATACTAAAACTTTGCAATTGAAAACAATTTTTTTTTGGATTTTTTCTCTTGTCAAAGAATTTTAGTATGAAGATCCCGATGTTTAACCTATTTTTTAAAGCACCATATAGTGAAGTATCAGCATATAATGTTGAAGTATCAGAATATAATGTTAAAGTATCAGCATATAATGACAAATTATCGGCATATAATGACAAACTATCAGCATATTATGTTAAAGTATCAGCATATAATGTTAAAGTATCAGCATATAATGACAAACTATCAGCATATTATGACAAAGTATCAGCATATAATGTTGAAGTATCAGCATATAATGTTAAAGTATCAGAATATAATGTTAAAGTATCAGCATATAATGTTAAGGTATCAGCATATAATGTTGAAGTATTAGCATATAACGTTGAAGTATCAGCATATAATGACAAACTATCAGCATATAATGTTAAAGTATCAGCATATAATGAATGTTCTCCACATAAGGCAGCTGCGGCGTTCCATAATTTGTCATGAGTTGTGCAGCATAGTGATTAGCGTGTTAGTCTCAAAGAAAAACGATACTCGATCAGGATTTTTTATTGCTAAGGGGTCGGAACCCCAAGAATACATTATTTTTTAAAAATAGAATAATTTTTGCCGAGAAAAGTTTTGTTTGTCATAATTTCATGAATTTCAATAATAAGATCTTCACTCTAAATACCAAATTCGTAAATTGAATATGATTTTTATGTATCTAAAGGTATAGGCACTCTGGACGCCTTGTTCTCCCATCTTCTTTCCCACCATATCCACCTGTTACATATACATATATGTACCTCCTTTCTCTAAGAACTAAGCAAATGAACGTAGATTTATAATTTAGAACAAATGAGTGACAAAAATAAAAAAAAAATTCCGGTTATATACATGCAGTTGTTATCTTCAGTAACCAATTAATCATTCGGAATATGTTCGGTGGTGTCATCAATGACTACATTGTATATGTACCCGGTATAATGGCTTTTTTACTAATTACTCGGGTACCAAGGAGAGTACATAGAGATAGACAAACAATTATGCGTGGGAATTACTGTCTTACATGACAGATCTGGTTCATAAACTGATAATATAGCCATTTTTTTTTCAGTAAGCAGATGAAATTATGTTTGGAATGATAGAGATAATAAGAATATATCGGCATAAAAAAGAGAAAAATTAAGTCATTGACAAAGAATATTGCAGTTTGGTGAAGATTATATGCTGAGGTTACTTGACAATTTGACCAGAGAGGCACATATACATGGATCCTGTATGTTTCAATTCAATGACATAGAAAAGTTAAGTAGTTTTTTTAACCACAGCATACAGCACACAAACCACAATATAATGGAACCAGAGAATATATAATTTTAAAAATATTTTATTGTTTTAAAAAAGTTTTGGATACAACTTAGTAGATCGTTTTCCTTTCTGATAAGTACACTGAATAGGATATGATTGTCAAATTAAAAAATAAATCATACAGTTATATTAAAACAGTTATACATCAGATATTAAAAGACACATATTGTATATAATCCCTACCTATATACATGTATATACGTATTACATGTTATATAAAACAGCTTCAGTGTTCCATATGCCTGCCATACTTTACTCCGGAACATGCATTCACGCTTCCATATACCTTGTAATACAAGATTCTTGGAAAAATAGTAAATGATGAAAAATTGTATTAATTATCGATTTTAATTATATTTCTCATCTGAAAACAGGATTTATTTTAATCTATTACCCCTTAAAAGGATTTTTTATAAAGTTTTTAAGTTTTACTTCGCAAAATAGTTCCCTAAAAAATTAGAAATAAATCGTTTTGAGGGATGATAGATTTAAAATAAGTGATATATTTTCATTTTTATTGATAATTACAATAATTTTAAAATTACTATTTCAATTTCAAAATTTCACCGTTTAAAACTTCTACAAGAATCTTGTAGGGTTGACAGAGATGTTGGGAGCGTAGCGGTAGACAACTCTGGATAGAGAATGGGGAACATTCTGTGCACAATTTCGTAAATTATTCTGTGTTTTTAAATGAGGGCTAATCCTCTTAATGAAGATTAATAATATCAATAATAATAAAACAATTAGGCCATCTTAAAAAAATATGTTTGCCCTCTAGCGACCAACTAATGGCCCGACTCAAAGCGTTTTCTAACCTCCAGGAAACATTTTTTTTTAAAATTCATTCCAAAGTTTTCTCGTCCTATTATTAACTATACTGTTAAAAAAAACAACAACAACAAACAAACAAACAAACAAAAACACACACACACACACAAAACAAAACAAAAAACAAGATGTGTTTGTGAAAGACTGATGCCCCCGTATGGCAACTTATAGCAAAGGTTAAACTTTCTCAAATGCAAATCAAATATATTGGTACCCAAAGTAAAGTCTTGTCTCGAGGAATACAGCTGTGAAATATGAAAGCCCTAGCAGCAACCATTGAATAGATATGGAAAAGGTTAAAGTTTTCTAAAGAAGGTCAAACGCAAAAGTTCAGGTCAAAGGGTCAAAGTTGTTGGCATCCAAACGAAGGTCTTGTCGCAAGAATGAAATATGTGAAGTATGAAAGCCCTAGCACCAACGGTTCAAAAATTATGGCTAAGGTTAACGTTTTTCAGAAGTAGGTCAAACTCCAAGGTCAAAGTCAAAGGGTCAACGTTGTTGGTATCCAAAGGAAGGTCTCGTCACAAGGATTACATATGTGAAGTATGAAAATCCTCCTTCCTTCCTACCAAATTTCTTTATTCTGAGTTGGGAGAGGGCAAGAAAATAAATTTAAGATGGCCTTATTTTCAAATTTTTCTACTCTGTATCTTGCCAAAAAAGGTTAATTCAGAGAATATGTGTCCCCTGCGTAAGGGAAAAAAAGAGATGGATAAACTGGACAAAATTACAGGTGGAGAAAAGGTCAACCTTGACCTTTCAGCTTCTGGTCTTAAAGTTAAAAAAATCATGACCAAAAGTTTCATTGCAAAAGCTTACAGAAAAACTAAAATTGTTATCTGCATATATGCAATATATATTTCTGACCTTGACCTTCGGGTCTATTTTTAAGGCCATGGGGAGTTGTGAAATAAAAAAATCATTGCAAAAGCTCAGACTTTTTTAAAGATATTTTCTGGAAATGAAAGAGTTACACACAAACAGAATGTATGAATTTATGACCTTGACCTCTGACCCCAAAATTGATAGGGCCCTTTTTTGCATCATAGGGAGTTGTGATATTACATTTCGTTGAAGAAAGCTCAAAGGAAACTAAAGTTATCATCTGGAAAATGTTATTTGTAATGTATGATTTTTTTTTTACCTTCAGTTGATCTTTGATCTCAAAAGGGATCTTCTTTAGGCAATACTTAAGGAGTAATGATATAAAATTTCATTGCAAAAGCCCAGACATTTAAAGATATTGCCTGGAAAACGAAAGTGTTAAACACAGACAGAATAAATGAATTTATGACCTTGACCTTTGACCTCAAAATCTATAGGGCTTTTCTTTGGACCATAGGGAGTTGTGGTATAAAGCTAAAAGGCTTCTTGAGATATTGTACAGAAATGAAAGTGTTACACACAGACTGAAATACAGACAGACAGACGAACAAATAGACAGATGGACCCAAATTCATTTACCCCTCTTTTAGTGAAAGCAGGGACAGAAAAAAAATAGATTTTAAATGTGGTTTTGTCATTTTCACAGAGCAGAGGGAGAAGACAGTGAAAAAAAAATGTAGGAAAATTTTAAACTAACACAATGAACAATAATTAATCAAAAATAAGACGACTTTGATGTTTTAATAAAAGGAGCAAAATCATGAAATAAAAATGTGTAAACAATTTTTTAGACTTTAGAGACCTGAATCAGCATCAAGTCAACAAAATACACAGTGCACATACAAAAACATAGGTAATCAGAGATTACAGAGCTCACCTCAACAAAATACACAGTGCACATACAAAAACATAGGTAATCAGAGATTACAGAGCTCACCTCAACAAAATACACAGTGCACATACAAAAACATAGGTAATCAGAGATTACAGAGCTCACCTCAACAAAATACACAGTACACATACAAAAACATAGGTAATGAGAGATTACAGAGCTCACCTCAACAAAATACACAGGACACATACAAAAACATAGGTAATCAGAGATTACAGAGCTCACCTCAACAAAATACACAGTACACATACAAAAACATAGGTAATCAGAGATTACAGAGCTCACCTCAACAAAATACACAGTACACATACAAAAACATAGGTAATCAGAGATTACAGAGCTCACCTCAACAAAATACACAGTACACATACAAAAACATAGGTAATCAGAGATTACAGAGCTCACCTCAACAAAATACACAGTGCACATACAAAAACATAGGTAATCAGAGATTACAGAGCTCACCTCAACAAAATACACAGGACACATACAAAAACATAGGTAATGAGAGATTACAGAGCTCACCTCAACAAAATACACAGGACACATACAAAAACATAGGTAATCAGAGATTACAGAGCTCACCTCAACAAAATACACAGTACACATACAAAAACATAGGTAATCAGAGATTACAGAGCTCACCTCAACAAAATACACAGGACACATACAAAAACATAGGTAATGAGAGATTACAGAGCTCACCTCAACAAAATACACAGTACACATACAAAAACATAGGTAATCAGAGATTACAGAGCTCACCTCAACAAAATACACAGGACACATACAAAAACATAGGTAATCAGAGATTACAGAGCTCACCTCAACAAAATACACAGTGCACATACAAAAACATAGGTAATGAGAGATTACAGAGCTCACCTCAACAAAATACACAGGACACATACAAAAACATAGGTAATGAGAGATTACAGAGCTCACCTCAACAAAATACACAGGACACATACAAAAACATAGGTAATGAGAGATTACAGAGCTCACCTCAACAAAATACACAGGACACATACAAAAACATAGGTAATGAGAGATTACAGAGCTCACCTCAACAAAATACACAGTGCACATACAAAAACATAGGTAATGAGAGATTACAGAGCTCACCTCAACAAAATACACAGTACACATACAAAAACATAGGTAATGAGAGATTACAGAGCTCACCTCAACAAAATACACAGGACACATACAAAAACATAGGTAATCAGAGATTACAGAGCTCACCTCAACAAAATACACAGTACACATACAAAAACATAGGTAATGAGAGATTACAGAGCTCACCTCAACAAAATACACAGTACACATACAAAAACATAGGTAATGAGAGATTACAGAGCTCACCTCAACAAAATACACAGTACACATACAAAAACATAGGTAATCAGAGATTACAGAGCTCACCTCAACGAATGTTGTCCTTAAGTAAAGGTAAAGTCCAACACTAAATTAATGATCTGGAAGTGTGCAGCCCTGGATGCAACATTTATGCAATTTTGGTCCTGCAGTTACTTAGGAATTGACTTATCTAAAAACTTGAACTAGTCACTCATCCAGAAAATGCGAGTCAAACCCAGCATCTGAAGCAAGTTTGAGTGTTCATTCCTTGATACATCATTCAAGCAAGTTTGGTTCAGATAGGCCTTATAGTTTCTTGTTAATGGACCTGCTCTTAAAACGTTAACCTGGTCACTCATCTAGAAAATGTCAGTCAAATCCAGCATCTGAAGCAACTCTGGTAGTGTGCATCCCTTGATGCATCATCCATGCAAGTTTGGTTCAAGTAGGCCTTACAGTTGCTTGGTCATGGACATGCTCCAAAAACAACCAGTTTAAAACTTCATTGGAAAATGTAGGTCAAATCCCACATCCAAAGCAACACTGGTAGTGTGCATCAATAAATTTATCATCAGTGCAGAGTTGGTTTGCATAGGGCTTATGGTCACTTTAGAAAGAAAATGCTCATAAAACTTTAACTTGGTTGCTCATCTGGAAAATGTAGGTCAAATTCAGCATCCTAAGCAAGTCCAGTGTAGTGTGCATCCTTAGTGTATCATCCATGCAACTCATCCAGGTAGCAAATAGTTACTTTAGAATGAACCTGCTCCCAAAACTTTAACCTGGTCACTCATCTGATTCTGATTTCTATTGGGCAAAAAGTTCTCTGACTTCCCTGAATTTGGTTGTACAATAAATGTTTTCATGAATTCTAATTAAAGGTTTATACCACTACATGTATACAATCGTTCACAACTTCTACTTGCGACGTATAATATTCCACGGAAGTGTTATATAAGCCTGATAGTGTGCATCCTTAGATGTATCATCCAAGTTTGGTCAACATAGGGCTTATAGTTGCTTTTGAATGAACCTGCTCCCAAAACTTTAATCTGGTCATTCATCTGGAAAGTGTAGGTCAGATTCAGCATCCGGAACAAGTCCAGTAGTGTGCATCCTTAGATTTCATCAATATAGGGCTTATAGTTACTTGGAAATGAGACCTGCTCTAAAAACTTTAACCTGTTACAGAAACATTAATTTGGTCATTCTTTAGCTGAAATTGCAGCATTTGAAACCTTGACTGGTACAATGAAACACACTAAAAGCATCCTTCATGCATCTTTGATAAATATATAAGACATAGAAGTACTTGAAAAGAAATTTGCTCCAAAAACTTTAACCTGATATGCAGACACCAAGGGTATTAACATAAGCTCCCCCAACTTCTTTAAGGTGAGCTAAAATACAGAGTACACATGCAAAAAAATACACAGTACATACAAAAAATGCTAAACTTCTTTTACAAATAAATCTTGATCTTGTAGTTGTTTTAACAAATTTCTGTAGGTCCACAAAATGTGAAGAGCAGTAGGTCTTCTGCTTAGATTCACATGTTTACATGCCATATGAATGTCTAACAGTCTCATCTGAAGATTTGTTGCTTGGAGACTATTTCCAAGGAAATAATTACACACACTTGGGACTTTCCAGATGTCAGTCTTCTCATCATAAGTCTGCATTTCACTGTCATTGAAGTCCGTAATCCTGCTCCATCTCTGTTCTGGAGCCACAAACTCACCATCTAGCTCCCGATTTCCACATTTGATACCTCTCCATTTCCCACTGACTTTGGTTGTCATAGCAACAGAATCCACATCGTTCAGCACCAGTCGCATATCTTCTGACAGTAAATACTGTGTAAATACTTTGTCTAAGCTGTTTGTATCACACATCACGTATGCCTTGTCATCTGAAGTAGAGTGGAGCTTGGAGAGAATTTCCACATAGTCAATACAAAACTGGAATCTTCTGAAGATACTGTTCACTTCTGGGAATGTTTCTAGATGTTTGTTAAACTTGGTAGCTTCACCAAGGGAGTGAAATTCAGTAATCATAATATTGTCACAGAAACCTATCAGCTGGACAATTCTCTGGTGTCCATGGAAATGTTTCAGAACTTGAATTCCTTGCTGAAAGTCTGCTTGGTAATGTGGAGATGTGAGTTGACTGTAGGCTACAACAAAATCCTTCCACCTGGCAACATACACCTGTAAAATTGATAAACTCTTCAAAGCCCAGCTTATTAACTTATTTACAACATTTTCTTTAAATCTATTCTAAATTGATGAAAACATGTATTTCAGAAATCAAAGAATATAGAACCTTTAATACAAAATTCAGATGAGAATTTCTCCTCAGTGAGCTGTCGTTCGGGATTACCTCTTTCACGAGCCCTCTGCCAATTCTGGTGATTTTCTCCACCTGCTGTAGGTCGTCACACGTAAGCCAGGGTCGACACTGGTGCATCCCGTACAGACTGAACTGTCCATACTGACAGAGGGGTCGACAGAGTTCCTTCCCCTGTATAATGCTCTGGATGCAAATAGGCTCAAGCGAGTGCTTGTTTTTATGTGATGAATACCATACTAAATACAATATTGGTATGTGCACAATGACACCAAGCGTCAGGTAAATAGTTTGAAACTGAAAATAAAATTTAACAAATTATTTTTAAAATTATTTGTGATCTACAAAGCTTGGTAGAAATACATCTCCCTATTAATTTTTTTAATAAATTAAAATGTTAATGTTGCTGCTAAATGCATCACACTGAATGGAAGTTAAGATGCATTATCAATAACCCATCACAAGAGGCCTTCAGTGTTAAACAACTGCAAAATGCTGATATAAGGTTTAATGCATTCAATGTTACTCACAAATTTGATCCATCCTGTTACATGTAAAGTTTGATAAGAATTGTAAGAAATGGACCCACTCCAAATAATTTAAACTTATCAGAAAATAATATGTAGGTTGCTTGGATCATTCAAAGTAAGACTGCAAGTACTCAGCTCTATTCAAGCAACTTGGTCTACAAAGGACTTAGAAGAAGCTATAATGAACCACATGGAAGTACATTTTTTGCATTTTGGTTTACATATAACCTCCTTCAAGAAAAATATGTTAAAGTAATAGGGTACAATTAGCTTTAATGTTAATTTTGCAGAAGAAAAATACTCAGCATAGAAATTTTTTTCCCCTCCTTTTCTAGCAAAATTAAGTTATTATAGTAAATTTTGAAAATTACAAAATTTAAAAACTGAGTCATGCAAAGCTCTGATGGGAAAAATGGAAAAAGGCAAAATGTTGGGTCGTCAAAACTTTGGGTCATCAACACTGGCTTAGTAACAAAAGAGGGCTCAAGCATGAACAGAATACTTTTTGCAGAAATAAATTCCACAATGAATAGCATATATCACTGCTTTCATGCCACACAAAAGCTTGGTCATCAGTAAAAGTTTCACTTCTTATTGGTGAGTGTCATTTATGTGTGGCCATTTGAGGTCTTTCGATAATGAATATTCATGAAATCATTATTTAATTACCAACTTCATACAAGTTTTTCTGCAACCCAACAGTTTGTTAGATTGATCCCGAAGAAGTTTAGGAACTTCCAAGGGATCATTCTCCTAAACAGTGGGCATACAGAAAAACTTGTAAACCAAAAGTTATTCCTTTATAAGTATGTTGATGCTGATTGATGATATTTACAGAATAAAAATTTTCATTTTTTGCACTGTAAATTTATATCCCATTTGGGACATTATATCCCACAGCTGTCCCAAACGGGCTTTTATATCCCATTTGGGCGATTGGTCCCAACCTGTTAGATACATGTAGCCGTGTCAGGCTGTGGCCTTGTCATTGTTCTCTATTGGGAAGTTGATGGCTCGTTTTATACTCCCTCTGAGGGGGAGTATGAAACGAGCCATCAACTTCTCAATAGAGAATAGCCTTGTCATGATATATGCTTGTCCTTGCAAAATGATGGAAAATTGTTGCTCTGTCAGATGCTTCAGTGGCGAAGATATTATTTCGAAGTAGTTTAGGAAGAACAAAAACATTATTTTTCTTACTTCAGAGTAAAAAAAAATATCATTACCGTAGAGAGTGTTGAAATTTCCAGCTTTATTTTTTTTTTAAACCTCGTCGTGTGGTCTCTAGTTTCGATTTCATACCATCTTATTTTCACTTTCTGAACGTGATGAACTATATGCCATGGTCTATCAAGATAAATCATATAAGCATCGTATACACAAATTATTTGCTTCTATGCATGAAAACTAATTAATTTCTTTGAAACAGTCTATTTAACAATATTTTTAAATGCCGTTTTAAATGTTAAGTTGGTTTAAAAGAGCATCACGTGATACGTTCCTTTTCCGGTTATCGGCCCATAAGTAAACAAGGTGCGAGTGAGTCTTGTGTCTCAATCAGTCACCATCCATGTTGCAATAAAGTAAAATCTGCGAAAATAACTTTTCCAATTAATGAATACCCAGATTATTTTGTGTTTTTGATCACAATATTAGCGCTAGATTAAGATATTTATGATAAGAACTGGAAAAAATTAAAGAGGGGGGGGGGGTGATTTGACAGCATTGGTGACTATGTATATGTTTTGTTTTTAAGGCCTGAAGATGAAGTTCAATAAAATGGTCTCCTCCTCAAGGAGGAAGAACAGAAAGCGTCACTTTAATGCTCCCTCACACGTTCGTAGGAAGATGATGAGTTCTCCCCTATCAAAGGAACTTCGCCAAAAATACAACGTGAGGAGTATGCCCATCAGAAAGGATGATGAAGTGCAGGTAAATCTCGAAGATGTTTTTTGTTAGAATTTTACCAAGAACCCTGTGTCAACTATGAATTCTCCCTGAAGACCAGTTTGCAGGATTTCCAGGCTTGACACCATGATTTTGTAGAAATGTCGCATGAACCTGTAGTTTTGTCTGTAATGTCTAATGAATGATAAGATCCCATTAAAGTCTCGTATAACATGTAATAAAAACACGCAAGGATTTGGAATTTTTTTTTATGTTTCAAATTGAAAATGGATTTTTAAAACTGTCGTATCCAATACCCAGTGGCCACAAGAAAGGCACCGTCTGTAAACCAAATGTCATTTTTTTCTATCGTAAAAATACTCAAGACATCAAAGTGTACAACCTTGTATATTCAGTGGTTTTTCAAACTTGAATTATATTGTAATGTTAGAATGCAGATAAGGAGGTATCAAGTCAACTCGTAACCTGACTGACTTATGACCAAGTCAACTCGAACTCATGTCAACTCAAAACCAAACAGCAAAGTCAGCTCATAACCAAGATCCTGGTTACGAGTTCACTCTTGGAGTCAAGTTTTACAGTAGGCAAAACACATTTTCAATTGGCACTTTTTTTTGAATATTTTTTTCTGTGTTAAGTATGAGAATTTTCATTCAAATGCATTTAACAGGTTGGGCACAGTTCCTTTTTCGAGGAAGTGTTACTATAAAGCAGGCTTATACCTCTTTCAATTTCAGTAATGAAAAACATTACTGTATACGGGAATTTTCGTCATATTTTTAAAATAATGCACCAAATCTGTGTATTAAATAAAAAGTGCATGAAAAATATGATGTGATGTGTTTAAACTTTATTAAACCAACCTCGCTGACCAAAAAATTCAGTCCTTTAGTGCTGCAGACAGGAGTAAGATGAGATTTAATCGTACGACATCACGAGTCTTCTTCAAACGGATGTGAATATTTCCCTTATATAAGTTATATTATTATTTGTTCAAAAATGGAAATTTTCATGGTAATGTTTGTTTTCGTGGAGGTGACATCTTTTGAACATGCATAGGAATTTAAGCTCACATGAAGCAGTAATCCATGACTTTTACTTTATTTTTCCCTGTTGATAAATGATACGAAAAGTGTGGAATCTTATAAGGGCATTCATGCTAAAACCATCTTTGAAAGACTATGTTTTAAAATTTAATATATCAAAGAATTATTTTCATCTGTAATAGAAGCAGTGGTATAAAAAATTATTTTTACGATGTCTTTGAAAGAAATGATATAAAATTAAATTAGAATGAATAATTTCATGAATGAGTTTTCAAGTGTTGAACGTATTCAATCTCACAATTTTAACACAGATAAGCTTCCATAAGAAATTTGTATTGTAGAAATATTTCATCACTCTTTTTCAGCATTTTGCAGCGATAAATATTGTAGTTTTGAGCATACATACACTTAATAGACTATAAATATTTAGAGGATGTGAAAATATTCTTGCACTTAATCTTTTATTCAAAGCAAACACGAGAATAGAGGGTAAACGAGTGAAAATTCCCGTATACAGTAATGTTTTTCATTACTGAAAAGAGGAATAATCCTCTAATAATTATAGTAATACTTCCCCCAAAAAGGAACTGAGCCCAACCTGTTTAAGGAGGCTCATTACACCCACAGTTTATTTTATTACAGCACCTTTTAATTTTATGTTGATTTCAAATATATCCAAATGATTATTATGTTATCATAGGCATTTTTTTAAGTAGTTTTTTTTTTTTCCATTATTGGACTGAACAAGCAGTTATTTTTACATCATATCCTATTAAAAGGCAAGCTCTTGCGGTAATGCCCAGCGCAAAGAGAAAATTCAGACTTGTGCATTGATCAATATAAATTTCTTCCACAGTAACATAGGTTGTTGTATCCAGAATCACCCTTGTATTGTATATGGATGCTCAAACTATGATAACCAACCTAAAGTCAGGGTTTTAGATTGAAATAAGTAACTAAGGACACTTTGCAGGGCTCGACATTAACTTTTTTCCCTACTTGTCCATTCGGACAAGTGACCAAGACATTTACTTGTCCAAACTTCAACTTCACTTGTCTGAAAAATTTTCAATAAAGATCTACTACTGTCAACTTGAAAATTTTAAAATAAAGTCCATTATATACAAGTTTGATTGATTTGTTTTTAATGTTATTGATAAATACAACATATAAAACAAAATTTTATCTAGATTTCCTGTCCTGACTTTTTAAAGTGTATATAAAGGTCAGACTGTAACCTGTAATACAAAACTGCACTCACCCTAAATGGTCGCATTGTCAAACTTGTTAGTAGATTGATATTTGTACTAGACAGGTCTAGCAATCTATTTGAACTCTAGATAGAACAATATTAATTCTGTTAGTGAACAAAGAAAAAAAGAAATTGTCATTGATAGTGAAGAAATCTTTCAAGGTGTTAGTAAACTGTAATTTTTATTTAGGTTGTTCGTGGTCATTACAAAGGACAACAAGTTGGGAAAATCGTCCAGGTGTATCGAAAAAAGTTTGTTGTGTATATTGAGAGAATCCAGAGGGAGAAGGCTAATGGAGCTTCTGTCCATGTAGGACTCCACCCCTCCAAGGTAATATAGTAACAGAAAGTGATTCTGACCATGTAGGACTCCACCCCTCCAAGGTAATATAGTAACAGAGAGTGATTCTGTCCATGTGAGACTCCACCCCTCCAAGGTAATATAGTAATAGAAAGTGACTCTGCCCATGTGAGACTCCACCCCTCCAAGTTAATGTAGAAACAGAAAAAGATTCTGTCCATGTAGTACTCCACCCCTCCAAGATAATATAGTAATAGAAAGTGATTCTGTCCATGTGAGACTCCACCCCTCCAAGGTAATATAGTAATAGAAAGTGACTCTGTCCATGTGAGACTCCACCCCTCCAAGTTAATGTAGAAACAGAAAGTGATTCTGTCCATGTAGGACTCCACCCCTCCAAGGTAATATAATATTAAAAAATGAATCTGTCCACATGGGACTTCACCCCTCCAAGGTATTGTAGTAATGGAAAGTGCTTCTGTACACATGGGACGTAACCCCTCCAAGGTATTGTAGTAATGGAAAGTGATTCTGTCCATGTGAAACTCCACCCCTCCAAGGTAATGTAGAAACGGAAAGTGATTCTGTCCACATGGGACTCCACCCCTCCAAAGTAATGTAGTAATGGAAATTGATTCTGTCCACGTGGGACTCCACCCCTCCAAGGTAATGTAGTAATGGAAATTCATTAAAAAACGAAAAAGTGTTGGTACTCTCACACAATAACAGCTGAAAATGAAGAGAAAAAGTCCTGAACTTATGTCAATTGAGTAGAAGCAGGGGGCGGAGCAAATATCAACTAACTTGCCACAATGACAGAACATCAAGGGGAAACAAGTTTGTTGAAAGAAAAGGGCCATAGTCCTTTCCAACATAGTCCCAATCCATGAAAAAATGTACAATCCTTTTCCATCTTGGTGATGGTTGAATGAAAAGAGAATATCTCCTAGGTCATTAAAAATAGAATTTTCATTTAGTGGATTCAACTTTGATCAAACTATCGTTTTATATAAGGCCACAAAAAGGGTCTGAATTTTCCAAAGAAATGAAAAGTAGAAGTATATGAATATTAGTTTTCATCAAGAACTACCAGGCTACAAATTGTCAAAATTGTAAGCAAAGATTCTAATGTGATGTAGAATCAAACCGTTCAATCCATCTTCAAAGGGATTCGGTGAGACTGTCACAGAGAAATGTACTACATGTGTAAAATTTTCTCACTGCATTGATTCATCATTCTCCATTATTTCATGGTAATAATTTCATTGTAGGTGGTGATAGTGAAATTAAAGATTGATAAAGATCGCAAAAGGATTCTGGACCGAAAGGCTCGTTCTAGACAAGTTGCTGATAAGGGCAAGCACACAGAAGAAAGTGTTGCAATGGAATCGTAATAAATTATTGGGGAGAAAGCAGTTTTTCTTGTTTGTTGAAATATATTGTACATTAAAGTACAGGGGGCTCAATCATCCTGATCACTGTCAGGATTCTCCTTAAATTACGCCCCAGTCCTCCTATAGCATTGGGAAAGCTGTCATGATTTGATGGTTTAGAACCCGAGAAATTTTGATTTTGTGGTTGCAAAAAGATAAGAATGGTATAAGTTGCAACAGTTGTCAATAAGAACAGAGGATATGTAATGGTATAACGAATATAAAGGTTAGGAGGCTAGGATATGTACTTGGTAACTTATTGTGTTGGGGGGTTGTAATGCATTTATTTTGAACATGTATTGTAAAAACTGAGAAGAAGGAAAAAAATTAATTGGTAGAATTTACAGATGTACATGCACTGCTTCTAATTTTCATGGACTTTCTTGCTTGATTTTTACTGTAAACAGGGTTATTTTTGCATTGTCCAACTTGCAAAGGATTTCACTCTGTTGTAAATTTCAACATACAAAGTTGTGTTCAAAAGTGATCTCGCTTGAATATCATTACTGGTAAAGAGCTAATCGAGAAAATATTGGTTTCGGACAACTGCTTCTATTGCTTTACATTAATGAGGCAGCATAGGCCAAACGTTCAGATGATTTTATGCAGTAGAGGAGCAATCTACATGTAGTTCATACTTATATTTGCAGTGTACGTTTTACACAAATTACAAAACATTGTTTTAGAACTGATATGTGTATAAAATGATTTAATCGTTAATGATTTCCTTGATGCAATATAATTTTTTCTGACAACAGTGCAAGTATGGTTGCTTTATATGCGACTTTTGGCACTGTATTTGCTACTTTGGAGTGTCCTTTTTCGTATGGTTCAACGTCTTACTGCTGTATCATGATTTTTTCGTTTTCAAAGAATTGAAATACATTTAAATTATCAACACATATATAGCAAAACAGCTATAGTACTATCAAACAAAGGTACTTGATTACACGACACCCCCCCCCCCCCCAATATATATACTTCCTGGTTCAGAAATGGATGTTTCGTAATTGTGCCTCCCCCCCCCCCTTCGAAGAAGGGAGGGCATATTGCTTTGCTGCTGCCTGTCAGTCGGTCGGTCCACCAACAGTTTCCGTTCATATTTTTCGCTGAGGTTGCACATACTGAAATGAAATTTGGTATACAGAATCTAGGTCAAGTTCTGTTTTGGGTACGATCGAGCAATTTTTGACAGAGTTATGCCCCTTGGACTAAGAAAAATTCCAATTATTGGGGAGGGGGGGTTAAGTGTTTCACAAACATCTATACCCCGCCCCTTCCCCCTTTAAAAAAATATATGAATGAAGAACTGCGAACGACTGTATTGTTCTGCCGCCTACCTCCAAGTCAATTTTCAAAAGTTAATATATTTGAACGATTTTTCATATTTATATAGATATTTATCGAACATAATTTATTTGGGAAAACAAAGAGAGATAACTCTACAATTCCTGTAAAACTTGTGTTTTTTTACTATAGAAATCAACGGGGGAAAAAATTCTTAAACATCCCCCGTGAAACAAAAATTCCCTTTTACAGGTTGTTATTTCTTATTTCACAAATTTATACCAAAGCTTTTGTTGTTTCACGGGGGAGGGGTGGGTGGGCATATGTGTACAGACAAAAAAAAAATCAAAAATGGTTATTTTATTACCAATTTCAAATTAGATTACATGTAAAAAAGAAAATTTTATCAATCTTATACATTGAATTTACCATAGTTTAATCATACGGAAAGGTTCAAGGGTCATTCATCTATTTCCATGCAATTAACTTTTCGACATTGGTTTTAAAATGAATAATCAATTACTAATGAACTCTTCTTTGCATTCAAACAGGTTTTAATAAAATGCCGTTTATATTGAATTAATTGAGTGTAAAATGTAGGCGGGAATCGGGAGTTAGCGTGCGTGGTTCTTTGAGCAAAATAAATTGTTTTATGAATTTTTTTTTTTTTTTTACAAAAAAATATTCTTTTTAAAGCTATTATAAAATGGAGAAATCACTTCGGTTAGTTTACATTGGATATCGGTCTAAAAAAATCCTTAACTTGCATAATGTCACTAAAATATATGTCTTTATACGTTGTTTTAGTAGAATTTTTGTATTTAATACATATAGTAATAGTTCCATTTATTTGTCCATTCCACTTTAATCCTGCTATTCATTGTCAATCGAAAAACATGTGTAGACCCTCCCCCTTTCCGAACGTAAGAGTTATTAAATCTAAGGAAAAAATTACCCACCCACCCCCGGAAACACGGACCTCTCTTAAAATTGGAAGAAAAGCCATGTATCCGTAAGAAAATTGACTTTGATATTTGTTAGAGTTGATGTGCTTCACGCCTATAAAAATTCCTGGATCTACGGCTGCGAAGAATGCTAAAAAATAAATAAATAAAAGAGTGAACATTATGGAAGTGAGGCCAAATTCTACATCTATAGGGGGTCTTAGGCCACGTTCAAATGTTATAGAACCAGAGCTAGGTCTGCGAAAAATATCAGGAAGCCGGAATAAATATACGCGTACTTGAATCATAGGAATATAACGCCATTTAATTTTTTCTTTCCCTAGATTGATCCCTTTTCATTTTTTTTCTCTCCATAGATTGATCCTAATAGGCTTTTGTACGTACATGTAGAAGTTGTTACATCATATTTGTCACTTTGCTGCTGATGACAATTTAATATGTTTTCATAATTATTTCAGTAGAACTGAAAACTGTCAAAAACACCTTGTTAATTATTCATTGCACTGAAACAAGTAGACTCGGAAAGTTTTTTAAGCTATTTTTTTAATTTGATGATGGACGTGTTTTATTTTTGTTCACAAAAGTGAATTCTCTCTCTCTCTCTCTCTCTCTCTCTCTGGGACAGAAGAGACTGTAACTTTAAGTTGAGCATGTGTCTTAATCAAATTATAATAATATGAAGAAAACATCAACCACTGATAATGTTTGGTGAACGACTTATAGAGTTCGTGTACCTTCAATTAATTTGCATCGGGCTCGGGATCAGCATTCGTGTCCCTGGCAATTGCGACGCTGTGGTCAGTTATCAAATTATTGACATTATTTAGTTTACACATGAAAAATTTTCATGATAGTTGTGAAGACCAAGAGACATATGTAAATGAGGTAGGATATCTTTACTTTATTATGATTTGCTTGTGTACAGACACTGCAGTGTGAATAAAGTATAGGAAGATCCACGAGTACAGCGTTTACAGAGTTGCAGCATGCAGATGCTACAGGCAGTTATATTTATTTTTAAAGATTAATTCATAAAACATACAACAGCCGGAGAAAACTCTTGAACTGAACCTTAATTTTTCTAACAATGACGTAATATAATCATGATTTGTGATTTAAACATATTTTATTGAAACATAATCAATGGGATTGGACACAAGTTAACTTAGATTGTCCTCTCCAACACAAACAAAACGACATATACTGTACATATAATCCCGATTTTGATTAAAAAAAAATTAAAGTTGTAATGAAGTTATGGGACACGGTTTATGTTGTAGTGTACCAGGTAATGGGAAGCGGTGGCAGTAAAAGTCCACCAGTCAAGGAAACTTTAACTTCCAACAAAGAAAAAACAGAATCCTCTTCACCAAGCCCTGCTCCTCTGGACACAAATGTAAATGTTAATAGTGGTGGGCAGTCCACCAATCAGAATACAGCAGAGTCTAGGCCACCCAATCAGAGTCTGGAAAAATTAGAGCAATCTGGAGAACTAAAACCCAGTGAGAAATCTGTCCTCCCAGAGAAAGCATCAGGCAGTGAAGACAATAAAGAACAAATAAAGAGTACAGAAGCAACAATGCCAGTAAGTGAAGATCGGGGGTTTACTAATTTCTGACCTTTTTAAATTAGACATTAAGTAGACGTTGAATGATCATTTGATATCTATGACTTAAAGCAGCTGTTCATAAGTTTGCATGAAAAATGACATTTGTCAGTGTCTTTGTTCTGACTTTTCAGACATCAAAACCAAAAGAGGGTGGCACTCCAGGAGAATCTGAGGAACGATTGATACCGGAGGTTCACAAGGACCAGCAATTGTTTGATGATGCTATTAGTTCTGCCTGTCAGCTGGTCAAGAGTCAAAGTCTACTGAAGCTGGTCACCCAGAATGTCACCTCCCTCTGCCTCCAGAGAGCCCTCCCTCAGGGGTTCTCCTTGTATGAGCTCCTCAAGAAAATGACCAATTTACAGGTAATGCTGATCTCATTCATGCTTCATCCATAGATTTCTTGTGAGTAAAGTATTTACCTTGAACAAAATGTCTACGTCAAAGTTAAGGTAAAAACGGACCTCTGTGTATACCGTATACCCATAAGCAGAAATTTTAGTGAGGATTCAATTTTGGCATTTTTAGCAACAGCGTTGAGATCGCTAAATTAAATATTGCTAACATTTTATTCTGCATTAGTAGTTACCATTATCTTTCTACACACCATTAAATCGTGATAATTTATTCTCACTAATATTAAAAACTGATTTTTTAAGGACATCTCTAAATTTGTGTCTCACTAAAATTTCCACTAATATAGAGTATATTAAAAGGTCAGAATTCAAGATCAGAGCAGTGGACCTTTTCACAAAAAATCTTACGACATATTTTTATCTTAAGTGAAAACTTATGATAAAAATCGTTTTCACAAAAATTCTTAAGAAAGTCATAAGTGCAAAATCTGTCGTAACTTTACGAGAGCCCCAACCCTCTCTTAAGTATTTTAAAACCGATTTTATTGTAAAAATATAACCGTAAAAACCAAAATACACGTTACATTGAACTTTTTAAAGCATTTTCCAATAATATTTTATATTTTTTTCACAATCAATGTCGAAAAATTAAATGAAATACACTACAAAACATTTACGATGTAAGTTTCACTTAAGATATTCGTATGACCTACTTTTACGTCAGACTTGTGATTGTGACGTCAGATTTTAAACTTTCTTGTTTCACAAACGATTGCATTCAATATTTGTTGTCTATGATGTTTGTTATGCTGACAAATGTTGAAAACTATGTTTTATTTTTATTTTCACCCACTTATTTAAGGATTATAAAGCATATTGAAGTCGTTGCTAGGGATGAAGTCTGTCGTAAGTAAAATCTTAAGTTCAATCTGCTACGAATGCGTTCGTGAAACGCACTTAGGATTTGTCGTAAGAGATTCTTAAGTTAAAAATCTTACGCAAAAACTTAAGATTTTTTGTGAAAAGGGCTACAGAACTTTTTGTAAAATCTTATGTCAGAAGTACATGTATATATTTCCTGTTCTTACACCAGTGTAGCTCACACTTTACCCAGAGCTTACAGTGCGTATACTGTAGAAGTACTTTTTCTGTGTGATACTAAATTATGCTATATGTATGTGGTCACAAATTTTTTTCTCCTTAACACTGAAATGAAAATGTGTGTCAACAAAATGGTCCTCTCCATATACAGTCCTCTACAAGTCCTTTTCATCCAAATGCCCCCTCAGTTTATTTGGTAAAAACAGGCCCCTTTGAGATATGATAGTTTAAGTCAAAATGTCCTTTTCTATATTGAAACAATAAATATATTACCCCCCCCCCCCCCCAAAAAAAAAAGAACTTCATAAAAGCATGAACTTTCAATTCAGTTAATCCACAGAGAAATGTTTCATTAGCCATTTTAACAAGAGATAGCTTTTATGATGCACTGAGGTTTAGATTAAACTGAACATCAAGCTGTATTTAGAATTCTTGACTAAATAATTTATACAACATGTTCAGTAGTAAAAAATGTATATATACATTTCAAGATAAAATCTTTGAAATTGTTGTAAATATTTTCCAGATATTGTTATGTTAAATATGTGGAATTGTAATATTTTACACAGATATATTAAATATGTAGTGGCATATTTACAGGATTTGGACCTATCACACAATGACATGGGACCCCAGAGTTTCCGCAGTCTCTGTCTGGCCATGTGTACCAATACGTCTATTCTGTGTCTGAATCTCTCCGACAACAAAACTGACACAGACAGCGCTGTAAGTACGTAGGGCTGTCAATTCTAGTGACACAGACAGCACTGTAAGTACATAGGGCTGTCAATTCTAGTGACACAGACAGTGCTGTAAGTACGTAGGGCTGTCAATTCTAGATGGCAGTATCAGGGTTCAAGTTTAACAAATTTTATGGTGATGACTACAATAAGTTGTTTTCTACATATACATACAACATACATTTTTACATACTGTAAATAACTTTTTATTTGCGAGAACTTTATTTTCGTGTAATAAGACTGTCTCTTTGCGAAATTTTCCTTCTTGCCTTTATTTTTATTATTAAAGATTATATAGGACAATAGTTAGAATTCGTGAAAATTTTGTCAATACATGTAGTTAGAATTCGTGAAAATTTTGTCTCGCTTATAAATGCCATATACCCTTCTGGTGAAAATAAGGTGTCACAAATATTTGGTGATTTACAGCAGTATTCTGGTGTCAAAAGAAAGTGTTGTCACAGGTGGACATTGTGGCCAATGGTCTTCATTTGAAAGGTTTATACATTTATTTGTTATTTATACTTATTTATTTTGTAGGAATGTCTTGGATTGATGCTGAGTCATAATGGGAGCTTGTCTTATCTCAACATTTCAAATAATTACTTTGGAAAAGATTATTTCTCACGTTGTGTTGGACCAGCTCTGAAGACAAACACATCACTGATGAATTTCAGGTAAGCCATAAAAATAAAGGACTTCATACATTAAACATAGAGAAAATATATACAAATAAATGCTTGGATATTGTTTATGTATGATGACATATACTGAGAATAACTCCCCTATTATCTGAAACAGAGCAGAAAACATAGGATCCACTGATGTGAAGGATTTTCTAGCAGGACTACAAGAGAACACCTCTCTAACAGAACTGGACTTCAGTAACAACTGGGTAACAGATAAGACTGCACTAGGTGCTGGTCTGGGGGAAGTATTAAAGGTTAGTCCTAATGGACTTCAGTAACAACTGGGTGACAGATAAGACTGCACTAGGTGCTGGTCTGGGGGAAGTATTAAAGGTTAGTCCTAATGGACTTCAGTAACAACTGGGTGACAGATAAGACTACACTAGGTGCTGGTCTGGGGGAAGTATTAAAGGTTAGTCCTAATGGACTTCAGTAACAACTGGGTGACAGATAAGACTGCACTAGGTGCTGGTCTGGGGGAAGTATTAAAGGTTAGTCCTAATGGACTTCAGTAACAACTGGGTGACAGATAAGACTGCACTAGGTGCTGGTCTGGGGGAAGTATTAAAGGTTAGTCCTAATGGACTTCAGTAATAACTGGGTGACAGATAAGACTGCACTAGGTGCTGGTCTGGGGGAAGTATTAAAGGTTAGTCCTAATGGACTTCAGTTACAACTGGGTGACAGATAAGACTGCACTAGGTGCTGGACTGGGTGACAGATAAGACTGCACTAGGTGCTGGTCTGGGAGAAGTATTAAAGGTTAGTCCTAATGGACTTCAGTTACAACTGGGTAACAGATAAGACTGCACTAGGTGCTGGTCTGGGGGAAGTATTAAAGGTTAGTCCTAATGGACTTCAGTTACAACTAGGTAACAGATAAGACTGCACTAGGTGCTGGTCTGGGGGAAGTATTAAAGGTTAGTCCTAATGGACTTCAGTAATAACTGTGTGACAGATAAGACTGCACTAGGTGCTGGTCTGGGGGAAGTATTAAAGGTTAGTCCTAATGGACTTCAGTAACAACTGGGTAACAGATAAGACTGTTATCAGTCTGGCATACCATGTCAGTGACACAGATCGATACATCTTTAGATGACAAATTAGAATATATACATGTATACAGACTCTTTTATCAACAATAAGAGGTGACGCTCTGTTTTAATCTTGTTGTTGATACTGTAGAATTCACTTTACAGAGGGAGAATTGTGGCTTGATCTCTCTGGCACTGGCTGGTTGTGAAATAAACAAGACAGGAGCTGCCCATCTTCTTGATGGAGTGAAACAGAACACATCCCTAAATGAACTCAATGTAAACGGGCTGGAGGTACAACAAATTGTCATCCATTCATACCAATTATTAAATCGTCATTTATTTATATCTCTTATATGTATAAATGTAAATGATTTGTTGATTTAGCTTTGATTCTGTTTTCTCTGAACAGTTTGAGTCACTCTCCCACTTACTGCATTTTGTTGCTGTCGCCGCCAATAACCCAAATTTACAAGTTTTATCCATTGATGGTGCCAAGTTTAAAGACACAACTGTTGATACCAAAGGTATTGTGGGTCAAAAATGCTTTCAAATTTAAAATAGGCATTTAACAACTTTTTCATTTATTCATAATAAAAATCAGTTTTTATGATAGATAATTTAAATGGCAAATTCAAAAGAATATAGAGATTTATAAAAGACAGTTACAAATAACTATATGATGAACACAATAATATTTACACAGATATAGCTCTTCCATCCAGAGATGCTCCGCCTTCCTTACAGATTCTGAGTTTGAGTGACAGTCACTTGACAGATGAATTCTTTGATGCTTTCCAGACACTGTACCAAGGAAGACAGATTCCACTGACTGAAATTGACATCAGTAGTAACGACGGCCTAACAGGAAAATGTGTACATTTCCTCGCTGAATTAACAAAAGGTAAAAATTATTTAAATAAATTTGGATTGAGTGCACCATGCATGTCATATTAGTGTACAATATGTATAATACCTTAAACAAACAAGTGATATTGTTTGACCCTTGAATGGATCTATTGCTTGAAGTGACTTTGAGCAACAAATCCATTCTGGGATCAAACAAAACGGGCTTTGGTCCAAAGACCCAGTCAGTAACTGTAAAATGTTTGATGATAAAGTCGGACAACCAGGAAAGAAAACTACTTGCCAGTTGACAGTACTACAGTCAATATTGGAATAAATAGAGGTTTTATGTATATCACATGATAACTTTAATTTTGATTTGTAACTTATATTGTATCATTTATGTAGATCTTTGCTCATGCACATTAAAATTGTAATTGGTTTAAGAACAAGGTTGAACAAAGACTACACAACAGTTGTCCAGAGTTGTGAAAATTACCTATACATGTAAATGAGCATTTAAACTTTTTGAAATTTATTTTTTTAATATAAATCAATCTATAGAATAAAGCTTTTTACTATTTTTTAAAAATAATTTGTGTACTTTTTTAAAAATCAGTTTTTAAATCTTACTGTCAGGAGAGGAGAGTCCATCAACAATTAGGAAACTAAGACTTGGTTTGTGCAGTGGTGTGAAAAGTTTACCCGAGGAGTTGATCAGCAGTGATCTCCCTTCTCTGCAGTATCTCAATGTTAGAAAGTCAAAGATACCAGATTTGTACAATCTGTCTAACCTGTTTATTGAGAAAAACCTGACAACACTGATCTTAGATGGACAAAAAATTGCCAACATGGACACACTAGAAAAACTTCTAGGTAAGAGAGAGAGAGAGAGAGAAAGGGGGTGATATATAAAACATAATTGTTACTAGAGCATTCCAAGGAATCTTGTGTTGCCTCCTTTAAAGCATCATTAGAGATGCAAGTAAATATTTCAGCGGTCAGCTATTTATTTTTTTACTAACTTTATTATTCATGAATTTGCTTGCAAAAAAAAAAAAATAATAATAATCCATGGATAGAAAGACTGGGATGGAATTAGAAATATGATTCCCCCACTCTCAAAGCTAAATGAATAATGAAATTGAAATCATTGAAAATAACTTTTTATCATTTTATTATGTGTTTAAGTCAACAATCCTCCAAAGAGATTTCAGACTGTCTTTACTGCAATTGTCAGTCTACAACAATCCATTATGGTATACTGATCCCAATTCATTTGCACAATATTTAAATTTCAGTTTGTGTGGTAACTGTATACCACACAGTTTCAAAGTACAGTGTCATAAGCTCATAAACATGTGACATAAATGCTAACTATCAAAACCCTGCCTCTACATATTCAAAGCATGCGAATTAAATTATTCGTCCAGAGTGTTTTTGCAAAGTAGGTCAAAGGTCAAGTTATGTGATCTGTAAGGCAGGTATTTTTCATAATATTTTCTGACTAACTGTGCACATATTAATTATAAATAGCATAAATTTACCTCTAAAATGTCAAAAATATGCTGTATATCAAAACTAAGAACTATTCTGAAAAGTAGGTCAAAGGTCAAGTTCAAGGGTTACAACGTTGGTAACTGTAATAATTTACAAAAGCCATAGTGCCAAGCAATATATGTGCGAAATATCAAATCCATACCTCTTACAGTTTTCATTAGGTGTGACAGACAGTCAGACAGACAAAATGTGATCCTTAAGGGACACTGCTCTGCAGGCAACTCAAAAACACCCCAGCTTAAATTGTTAAGATATATTCTTGATTAAATATGTTCAATATGCCACTCGTATTAATTGTCAGTAAAAAATCGGATGTGATTAAAAAAAGACGTTGTACATTGTATATCAAGATTGAATTTACAGATGACTTTGCAGGAGGCAATATTGAAACAGATTTTTGTGCTTTATTGTAATGAAAACAAATTCCCACTGATGACATGGATTAATTGGAGTGCTTGACCCATGGGGAGAATCAGAATTGTGTGTAATACTGAAATCCTGTAATTATTTCAGCTGGAGCTAGTAAAGGGCACCTGACAACTCTAAGTCTGAGTAGCTGTGCACTGTCAGCCAAAGATATCAAACCACTCTGTAGTGTCATCAAAGAAGGCTTAAAACTACAGATGCTAAAATTAGCAGGAAACAGATTGGAGGATCCAGGGGTAGTGGTCTTAGTGGAGGCAGTAGCAGCTAACAAGACACACCCACTGGCAGTGTTAGATGTCTCTGATAATACGGTACAACCATTTACAAGTAAAAATTCTCTGAGGACTTGAAGTTGTTTCCTCATGCAATGATCATAACTAACTGAATATGTGTACTCTTATCAAATAGTTTTTCTGTCTATTTTCAGTTCAGTGATGAAGGAGCAAAACAGATAGCAAGTTTATTTACAAATAAAAAGCACAAGACACAAATCCATAGCCTGAATCTCAGTCACAATAATGTGGGTAAGGCAATCCAGACTCAGTACTTCTATCTCAGAATCTCAGTCACAATAATGTGGGTAAGGCATTCCAGACTCAGTACTTCTATCTCAGAATCTCAGTCACAATAATGTGGGTAAGGCAATCCAGACTCAGTACTTCTATCTCAGAATCTCAGTCACAATAATGTGGGTAAGGCAATCCAGACTCAGTACTTCTATCTCAGAATCTCAGTCACAATAATGTGGGTAAGGCATTCCAGACTCAGTACTTCTATCTCAGAATCTCAGTCACAATAATGTGGGTAAGGCATTCCAGACTCAGTACTTCTATCTCAGAATCTCAGTCACAATAATGTGGGTAAGGCAATCCAGACTCAGTACTTCTATCTCAGAATCTCAGTCACAATAATGTGGGTAAGGCAATCCAGGCTCAGTACTTCTATCTCAGAATCTCAGTCACAATAATGTGGGTAAGACAATCCAGACCTGTATCTCAGAATCTCAGTCACAGTAATGTGGGTAAGGCAATCCAGACTCAGTACTTCTATCTCAGAATCTCAGTCACAGTAATGTGGGTAAGGCAATCCAGACTCAGTACTTCTATCTCAGAATCTCAGTCACAATAATGTGGGTAAGGCAATCCAGACTCAGTACTTCTATCTCAGAATCTCAGTCACAATAATGTGGGTAAGGCATTCCAGACTCAGTACTTCTATCTCAGAATCTCAGTCACAATAATGTGGGTAAGGCAATCCAGGCTCAGTACCTCTATCTCAGAATCTCAGTCACAATAATGTGGGTAAGGCAATCCAGGCTCAGTACTTCTATCTCAGAATCTCAGTCTCAATAATGTGGGTAAGGCAATCCAGACCTGTATCTCAGAATCTCAGTCACAGTAATGTGGGTAAGGCAATCCAGGCTAAAATAGTATCTGTATCTCAGAATCTCAAATACAATCTCAGTCACAATAATGTGGGTAAGGCAATTCAAACTCAATGCCTCTGTCTCAGAATCTCAGTCACAAAAATATGGTTAAGGCAACCCAGGCTTACTTCCTGTATCTCAGGATCTCAGGCACAGTTATGTGGGTTATTTTTAAAAGTAATCCAGGCTTTAAACTTGTATCCAGTCTCATTAGGTTTTTAGGTATCTGGTTATGATACAGTTTATCACATTATAGAAATGCCTTTTGATAAGAAATTATATCCTTATTCTCCATGTTCTCTGATTCAGAAAAAAAAGTGTTCACAACCACCAAACTAGGCTGCCTTGATTTCCCTATATTAGTGACCAAAATCAAGATTTTTATATAAGTAATTATGAGGTACTTTGTCTAACTTTGAAAAATACCCCAAGACCAAAAAAATAAATAAATTACAGCTGCTTTAGCATCCCAAAAGTAGCCATATAAATGTAATACTATTGATTTCTTTTTGGAATCCTAAGTCATGTGAATATTGTAATTGTAGGTAAGACAGGTCTCCTCGCTATAGTGTCTGTGATTGGGGGGAAATCCCCATTAAGGACTCTGTATCTACAGAATCAGACCACTGCCTCACAGCTGACTATCCCAGACATGGTAGAGGTCTACACAAAACTGGCCCAAAACCTCGGTTTGTTTGGAGGATTTTTTTGTCATTGTACAAATGTACTTTTAAAGTGAATTATTATCAAAAATCAGTCAAATGTTGGTATAATCCAAGCACCCCATCATAAAAAGTTTATTTCATTTAATCAGTTGTTCCATTTTTTATCAATAAGCCATATACTATAAGTCGTTTTAATTCCACAGTGTTAAAATTTCACGATTTCTCAAAAAGTACCAGTCGCGATGGTTTTAATTTCACGCTGCAAGAAATTAATTTAAATTTCGTAAAAGTATTTAAACGTTTTTAGCTCACCTGAGCCAAAGGCTCAAGTGAGCTTTTCTGATCAAAATTTGTCCGTTGTCTGTCGTCGTCGTTGTCGTCGTTGGTGTCGTCGTTGTCGTAAACCTTTCACATTTTCACCTTCTTCTCAAGAACCACTGGGCCAAATTCAACCAAACTTGCCACAAAGCATCCTTGGGTAAAGGGGATTCAAGTTTGTTCAAATGAAGGGCCACGCCCTCTTTCAAGGGGAGATAATTAGGAATTAGTGAAAAAATAATGGCATCATTTAAAAATCTTCTTCTCAAGAACCACTGGGCCAGGAAAGATGAAACTTATGTGGAAACATCCTCAGGTAGTGTAGATTCAAGTTTGTTCAAATCATGACCCCTGGGGGTAGGGTGGGGCCACAATGGGGGATCCAAGTTTTACATAGAAATATATAGGAAAATATCTTTAAAAATCTTCTTCTTAAGAACAGTAAAGCCAAGATTGGTCATATTTATATGGAAGCATCCTCAGGTAGTGTAGATTCAAGTTTGTTCAAATCATGACCCCTGGGGGTAGGATGGGGCCACAATGGGGGATCCAAGTTTTACATAGATATATATAGGAAAATATCTTTCAAAATCTTCTTCTTAAGAACAGCAAAGCCATGATTGGTCATATTTTTATGGAAGCATCCTCAGGTAGTGTAGATTCAAATTTGTTCAAATCATGACCCCCGGGGGTAGGGTGGGACCACAATGGGGGATCCAAGTTTTACATTGAAATATATAGGAAAATATCTTTCAAAATCTTCTTCTTAAGAACAGTAAAGCCAAGATTGGTCATATTTATATGGAAGCATCCTCAGGTAGTGTAGATTCAAGTTTGTTCAAATCATGTCCCCCGGGGGTAGGGTGGGGCCACAATGGGGGATCAAAGTTTTACATAGGAATATATAGGAAAATATCTTTCAAAATCTTCCACTTAAGTTACATAGGAATATATAGGAAAATATCTTTCAAAATCTTCCACTTAAGAACAGCAAAGCCATGATTGGTCATATTTTTATGGAAGCATCCTCAGGTAGTGTAGATTCAAGTTTGTTCAAATCATGACCCCCGGGGGTAGGGTGGGGCCACAATGGGGGATCAAAGTTTTACATAGATATATATAGGAAAATATCTTTCAAAATCTTCTTCTTAAGAACAGCAAAGCCATGATTGGTCATATTTATATGGAAGCTTCCTCAGGTAGTGAAGATTCAAGTTTGTTCAAATCATGACCCCCAGGGGTAGGGTGGGGCCACAATGAGGGATCAAAGTTTTACATAGAAATATATAGGAAAATATCTCTAAAATCTTCTTCTTAAGAACAGTAAAGCCATGATTGGTCATATTTATATGGAAGCATCCTCAGTGTCACAGATTGTCGAGCGGATTTATCTTTTAACTAATTAAAATACAACTCAAATGCTTTTGTTTACAATTTACATGTTTAATTAATGATGATACTATATACAAATGTCATTGTTGTTGTTTGTCGTAATTTCCCGTCTCGCCGCTGGCTTTTCCACCTCACAGGCTGGAGGATGGACTCTAGGTTCCAAAGCTGGCTGGCCTATCTACTACACGCCACGGGCGGACTTTAGGCACTGGGTGGCCTCACTGTTGTACAAAAACTCTGACATATGGATGGAACCTGCTCCAACATATACATACAAGTTTTACTTACAAGCTCTAGTGGCTTTACACAAATACACATTACACTCATTATCAGATTTATAGATAATGGACACGTCTTAGATAAGACTCAATTACACACACATGAGTTGTTTAAATTATACATACAACTCTTACACAAATGCAATATTGCGAATTGCTACTTTACGGACAACAATTTTGACAGAAATTGTACACCGTACTTTGAAATATTTAAATACGTGTTACTATAGATAGAAATCAAATTAAAGGAAACACACATGCTAAAAATGATGAGAAATGCGGTGACTGGATGTTTTAGGACAAATGAATAATATATAAGAAATAACTAAAATAGAATTATAAATATAAGCCTTACCTCAGAAAAGCTGGACCATTACACTGTTAAAAATAATATCACACCAGAGCAAGCACTGTCATGAATCACAAGGGTACATACATGTAAAAAACAAAGATATAAGAGGAGATAAAGGCGTCCTCCTCTCTGGACTGCCGCGTCCAAACTAACTGGCACGGACTGGCGGGTTTTAAGGTCCAGTGAACTGAGGTTCAGTGAAGGATATGTACAGTAATAACACATTTAAAACGAAGGGGTTCCCCACGGGATATGTACATGAAATTTAAAATATGTTAGGATGATTTTAATGTGACACTCAGGTAGTGAAGATTCAAATTTGCTCAAATCATGACCCCCGGGGGTAGGGTTGGGCCACAATTGGGGATCAAAGTTTTACATAGAAATATGTAGGAAATTATCATTAAAAATCTTCTTCTTAAGAACAGTAAAGCCATGATTGGTCATATTTATATGGAAGCATCCTCAGATAGTGAAGATTCAAGTTTGTTCAAATCATTACCCCGGGGATAGGTTGGGGCCACAATGGGTGATCAAAGTTTACAGAGGAATATATAGGAAAAAGTCTTTTTCTCAAGAACAGAAAAGCCATGATTAGTCAAATTGATATGGAGGCATCTTTGGGTAGTGTAGAATAAAATTTGTTCAAATGAGGGCCCCCGGGGGTAGGGTGGGGCCACAATGGGGGATCAAATTTTAACAAATGAATATATGGGAAAAAAATCTGCTGCTCAGGAACAACAGAGCCATTTGTTATATTGATATGAAAGCATCATCAGGTAGTTTAAAATTCAACACCCCCCCTCCCTGTAAACTTTTCAATACTGTACTGATTTTGCTTTTTTTCCTAGCCAATGTGCTCAGGTGAGCGATGTGGCCCATGGGCCTCTTGTTTGGATTTTTATTTATATATATATATATATATATATATATATATATATATATATATATATATATATATATATATATATATATATAATATTTAGTCATCTAAGAGTTTCACCCCTTTTTAAACTCTTCTTTCCTGTAAAGGATCAAAGAAAGCTTAAAGCTTGAAGAATTTTATTTCATTTTGAAATACAACGTACTATATCCAGTTGGAACTAAAATATTCAATTCTATGTAAATTAAACCACTGATATACAAAATCTAAGTACCCAGATAAAAAAAAATATATCGAAAAATTTCCGGGGAAACTGGATTTATATGTTCATTCAAGTTAAAATATTATTAATATCTGCCTTCATTCTGCAATTTGCAATGAAAGATTCAAAATAATTATTAAACAATAGTAATCCTCTGAGTTAAGAACACTGACACAGTACAAAAGTACATGTATGTAATTTTAAATATATTTAACTCAAAAAGTTAATTTTTTATCGTCTCTGAGTCCTCTCTCTATTTTTTACAAATGTTTGTTTGTTTCTCTGAATTAAAATGCACACAAATAACTTCTCAAAATCATAGAGAGATGACTCAGAGGTAGCAAATTTTTAGAAAAACGTGTTTAAAAATGTAACATTTTGTACCATATGACTCATTTAGCCAATTTTAACGTTCTTTTTTAGCAAATCAAAATATAATATCGGGAAAATATGTCCCTTTCCTATTTCATAGGAACCCGTGACATCAAGAAAATGCTAAAATTTCATGTGACAGATCAATGAAATTTTCACTTTTCAAGTGCGCCCAGATTCCTGCCGAATGCCAATCAAAAGCGCCCTCGTTCTTTTCCTCGATTTCGTGCGCCGATTAATACTTGCTTCTTTCATTTTCCCATTTTTTAGGGTCACCTGAGTCACTCAGGTGATCTATTGCTATCCGTTTTTATCTGTGCGTCATGCGCTAACATTTAAACATTTTCAGCTTCTTCTCTGAAACCGCTCAACCAATTCCAACCAATTTTGGTATATAACATCTATGGGTGAAGGGGGACAAAATTGTGACTTTCATGGTCCCTGCCCCCCTGGGGCCTGAGGGGTGGGGCTAAAACCACCAAATTTAATGCAATCTTTAAAAATCTTCTTCTTTACTCCTGGACATCAAGAAGTCAAACTGTTGGCATGATTGTAATAAGCATTGAGTCCTCTACCAAAATTGTGAAATTCATAGCCCCTGGGTCAGGGGTTCTGGTGCTAGGTGGGGCTATATAGATCACATAGTGAAAATGCATTATTTCTTTGAAAATCTTCTTCTCTGCTCCTGGGTATTAGATAAACTAAGTACAATGTTATGTTGAGCAAGACTGCCTCTTCCAAAATTGTGACTTTTATGGCCTCTGGGTCAGGGGTTCTGGTGTTAGGGTGGGGCTCTATTGATTATATAGTGAAAATGCATTAAATCTTTGAAAATCTTCTTCTCTGCTCCTGGATATTATTTAAACAAAGGAATTGCATGGTTATGATAAGCAAGAATACCTCTTCCAAAATTGTGAAATTCATGTCCCCAGAGTCAGGGGTTCTGGTGAAAGAGGAGGGGACTCTATTGATTACATAGTGAAAATTCTTAATTTCTTTCAAAATATTTTTTCTGCTACTGGTTATAAAGCAAAGAAACAAGTGTATAGTTATGATGAGCAAGGATGCTATTACAAAATTTTTAAAACCTGTGGTCTCAGGGTTCTGTTGTGTCTGTGGCGGGGAAGGGGGGGGGGGGGGGGCTCTATTGATAATCTAGTGAAAATGGGTGAATTCTTTGAAAATCTTCAACTACATGTAATTGCATAGTTATGATGATGAGGGTACTTCTTCCAAATTTCTAAATTTCATGACCCTAGGTCATGTGTTCTGGTGTTAGGGTAGGGCTGTTTTAAATAGTGAAAATGCATTATTTCTTTGAAGATCTTATCTGCTCCTGGGCATATTGGAGGCAAACAGAGTAAAAAGTTTTAATAAGCAAGAGTATTTGTACCAGAATTTTGAACATCTGGACCATTTAGTCAAGTGCTCTGGTCCTGACCAGGGCTCTATTAATTTGTATTCTACTGAGTGATGTTATTCCTCTTTGCCATTCACCTTTGAGAATTAATCACTGTAGATAATGTATTTGAAAGGTTAATAGAATAACAGAAGTATGCAAGAACATTTATTGTATAATACAGAAAGTACTTTCTTAGTCTAAATGATCAGGTAGACTTGGAAATAATACATAAATAAAAATGAAACAAAAATAACTTATCTTTTTAAATGTTCTTCAAAGGCCAAGTGAGGTCAGTGTGAGAGGTAATTGACATTTTGTTAAAAGTCTGCAAGATAAAAGTGATAAATGGGGGACAGATAGATAGATACTAGAAGAATTATTTTGTTGATCTTAATAGTACTATTCTTCTTGCTTTTTTGCAACAAAGCTTCATTTATCAGTTTATGGATCCTCTAAATTGTTGTGCTCAGGTGACTGTTGAGGCCCTTGGGCCTCTTGTTTATTAAGTGTGTTACCATCATAAAACTTGAAATTTGTGATCATAAAATGTTGCTTTTTACTATAACGAGAAAAAGAAATATTATTTAGCAAAGAGAAAATATACTGTTTTCCCTATCTACGATTTTCTAGGACAACCCTAGTGTATGATTTTTTTTTTGGTAAACCTAACCAATTGTAGCCAAGTGTTACAGTATATTAACAACGAGATATGCCGTGTATACATAGAATGTTATCAAGGAATTGCATATCAAACATCTGTTTTTAGCTCACCTGAGCCGAAGGCTCAAGTGAGCTTTTCTGATCATATTTTGTCTGTAGTCCGTCTGTCTGTCCGTCTGTAAACTTTTTCACATTTTCGACTTCTTCTCAAGAACCACTGGGCCAATTTCAACCAAACTTGCCACAAAGTATCCTTGGGTAAAAGGGATTCAAGTTTGTTCAAATGAAGGGCCACGCCTTCTTCCAAGGGGAGATAATTAAGAATTCGTGAAAAATTAATGGCATCATTAAAAAATCTTCTTCTCAAGAACCACTGTGCTTGAAAACATGAAACTTATGTGGAAGCATCCTCAGGTAGTGAAGATTTAAGTTTGTTCAATCATGACCCCCGGGGGTAGGGTGGGGCCACAATGGGCAATCAAAGTTTTACATAGGAAATATACAGGAAAAATCTTTAAAAATTTTCTTCTTAAGAACAGTAAAGCCAAGATTGGTCATATTTATATGGTAGCATCCTCAGATAGTGTAGATTCAAGTTTCTTCAAATCATGACCCCCGGGGGTCGGGTGGGGCCACAATGGGCGATCAAAGTTTAACATAGGAATATATAGGAAAAATCTTCAAAAATCTTCTTCTCAAGAAAAGCAAAGCCATGATTGGTCATATTTACTTGGAAGCATCCTCAGGTAGTGTAGATTCAAGTTTGTTCAAATCATGACCCCTGGGGTAGGGTGTGGCCACAATGGGCGATCAAAGTGTTACATAGGAATATATAGGAAAAATCTTTAAAAATTTTCTTCTCAAGAACAGCAAAGCCATAATTGGTCATATTTACTTGAAAGCATCCTCAGGTAGTGTAGATTTAAGTTTGTTCAAATCATGACCCCCGGGGGTCAGGTGGGGCCACAATGGGCGATCGAAGTTTTACATAGGAATATATAGGAAAAATCTTTAAAAATCTTCTTCTCAAGAACAACAAAGCTATAATTGGTCATATTTATATGGTAGCATCCTCAGGTAGTGTAGATTCAAGTTTGTTCAATTCATGACCCCCGGGGGTTGGGTGGGACCACAATGGGCGATCAAAGTTTTACATTGGAATATATAGGAAAAATCTTCAAAAATCTTTTTCTCAAGAACAGCAAAGCCATGATTGGTCATATTTACATGGAAGCATCCTCAGATAGTGTACATTCAAATTTATTCAACTCATGACCTCCGGGGGGTCTGGTGGAGCCACAATGGGCGATCAAAGTTTTACATAGGAACACATAGTAAAAATCTTCTTCTCAAGAACAGCAAAGCCATGATTGGTCATATTTATATGGTAGCATCCTCATATAGTGTACATTCAAATGTGTTCAAATCATGATCCCCGGGGGTCGGGTGGGGCCACAATGGGCGATCAAAGTTTTACATAGGAACACATAGTAAAAATCTTTAAAAAAAACTATTTGTTAAGAATAGCAAAGCCATGATTGGTCATATTTATATGGTAGCATCCTCAGATAGTGTACATACAAATTTGTTCGAATCATGACCCCCGGGGGTCTGGTGGGGCCACAATGGGCGATCAAAGTTTTACATTGGAACACATAGTAAAAATCTTTAAAAAAACTATTTGTTAAGAATAGCAAAGCCATGATTGGTCCATGATATGGAAGCATTCTTAGATAGGGTACATTCAAGTTTGTTCAAACATGACCCCTGGGGGTCGGATGGGGCCACAATGGGTGATCAAAGTTTTACATAGGAATACATAGGTTAAATCTTTAAAAATCTTCTACTCAAGAACAGCATAGCCATGATTGGTCATATTTAAATGGAAGCATCCTCAGATAATGTAGATTCAAATTTGTTCAATTCATGACACCCCCCCCCCCCAACCACTTTTATATTTAAACTTTTCAACCTTTCAAGATTGAAGTGATTTCTGCTTTTTCCTAGCCATAGTGCTCAGGTGAGCGATGTGGCCCCTGGGCCTCTTGTTAAAAACTAATGATAGCATTCACTATGCGTTTAATTTCACGGAAAAATGATGAATTGTGAACATAGTGAAATTAAAACCATCGTGATTATTTGCCAATGTACAGTATATGTAGTACAAGATTCCAGTCCTGATCTATCTAATATCCTAAAAGCGCATCAGGCTTTTTCTGCACTGATGCACATTCCTATAAATATATCAGCCTTCATACTTGTATTTAGTATATTTTTTCAAGGTGACATTGAGTTATTTTTTTAAACTAATTATATAAATGAACATTTATAATTATTGGCAGTAACCACCAAAGAAAAAACTTTTTTTGCATAGGAAACATTATGTTTTAATTAATTATTCTCTCTTAGTAGTTTATCATGAAAATATTTGATTTTGTGTTAATTAAAACTCATAATTAGTCTTTTACAGAAAACCAATCATTGATTATGACCTTCTTACTGATTCCTGTCACTAGTGTTGACAGTCTCCACTAACTTTTAATTACAACAAACAGGATTTAAAATAAAGAAGACAGGAGACAAGATACAGCCGGGATCCTGTGATCTTCCCAAACTACCTGAGGGTCTGGTGGTCCGACTGACAGAGCTGGGGGGCAACACAGGTAAGAATTCTCTACAAAAACTGCAGGGGAGGGGGGAAGGGGGCACAGATAAGAACTGTCTACTCTACCGTACAATGACTGCTGGGGTTGGGGTAGGGGGAGAACAGATAAGAATTCTTTACTCTACCCTACAGTGCTGGGGAGGGGGGCAACACAGATAATAAATCACTCCTCTACCCTACAATCTACAATGACTGCTTTGGGGATGGGGGGGGGGGGGGGCAACACGGATGAAAACAAATCTCTACTCTACCCTACAATGACTGCTGGGGGGGGGGGGGAGGGTAACACAAACAAGAATTCTCTACCCTACCCTACAATGACTGCTATTGAGGGGGAGGGGGACATGCAAGAACTGTCTATTCTACCCTACAATAACTGTTTGAGCTGGGGTTTTATAGATAAGAACTGTCTATTCTACCCTACAATAACTGCTTGAGCTGGGGTATATAGGCAAGAACTATCCACTCCGTGCTACAATGATTTTATCTTGTATCATATACAAGGGTTGTCCCAAAATTCCGTAGACTGAGCTCATATCTTTTATCATATAATAAGGATTCTAGTTATAAGTGTGCAATAAATTATCATGATATGAATTTATTATTAATTTTGAAAAGTGAGCTTTTCTGATCACCTGTTGTCCTTCGTCCGTCTGTCTGTCCGTCTGTATACTTTTCACATCATCATCTTCTTCTCAAGAACCAAAGGGCCAATTTTAACCAAAGTTGGTACAAAGCATCTTTAGGTGAAGGGAAATATATATTGTTAAAATGAAGGGCCAAGGGGAGATAATCAAGAAAAGACAAATATAGGCTAGGGTCATTAAAAAGTCTTCTCAAGAACCACTGGGCCAAAAAAGCTGAAACTTATGTGAAAGCATCCTGGGGTAGTGTAGATTTAAATTGTTCAAATCATGGTCCATGGGGGTAGGGTGGGGCCACAATAGGGAATCCAAGTTTTACATTGAAATATAATGGAAAAAATCTGTCTTCTTCTCAAGAACCACTGGGCCAGAAAAGCTGAAACTTATATGCAAGCATCCTGGGGTAGTGTAGATTCTAAATTATTCAAATCATGAAATTTATATGGAAGCTTCCTGAGGTAGAGAAGATTCTAAATTGTTCAAATCATGGCCCCCTTGGGTAGTGTCGGGCCACAATTTTTAATTGCAATTTTTGGGTACTGCACTGCTTTTTTAGACACCTGTAAGACAGTGAAATATTAAATTTACACTTGTAATTACTCCATATCTGTGCCTTAGAATTTATTGTTACTGTTGGTTTAATCTTTGTACATGTACAAAGTTTCATTAATTTATGACACTGGGTTCAAACAAAATTATTGTGACATTAGTCTACAGAATTTTTGGACAACCCTTACACAGTAATTGTGTAGAAATTTTTAAAATGAACACTAATCCATTTAATAATGATGCAATTTCCCCCCTCAGATATTGTTTCCCCATTCATTGAAAAAAATTGATTGTAAAAATTTCCCAACTTATATTGGTAATCAAAATGTTTTGTTTTTTTTAATAACTAAAGAAATTTGCTTTAATTGGAATAAAATCTTTTTTTATTTCTTATACAATTAACATATACTATACATTGAAGCATGTTGGTGTAAGACCCCTTATAAGATTCTACTGAATGTGTGGAGACTCTATAATATGTAATTTGTAGGTGACATTGGTCAGATGTTGGACAGCGTTCGGATTAAGACAGATTACGTCATTGAGAAACCCCCTCTGCTGACTTACACTGACATCCTAACCATTTGTGCCGTTCTGAAAGGTTCAGGTATATACATGTTACTATTGGTGATTTAAACCATATTCTGTAATTTTTGTTTTTATAAATTGTTATAAATTGTGTTTATACACGAGAAGATTATTTAAAAAGAACCTGTACGTGATTTTGTTATATTTTTAACTTATTCAAAGTAATCTAATCTTGACATAGAAGAAACAAACAAACATACAAGAAACACGGTCATGTTTACAAGATTACAATGAGTAATATGTAGTTTTCTAATTCATGTCCAATGGGTTCTGGGTTCCCAGATTAGATTAAGTTTATTGTATGAAAATGCATTTACATGTACAGTACTCCTTCACAAGTAGCAATTTCACTTTAAATTGTAATGCTAGATGAGTCCTCTTCTAGAATTATGCAACACACTATTATTTACCCTGCTGTCCATGACAAAGGATTGGTCTAATGTAAATCCTAGGTTAATGCTAGGCCTATGAAGGGTCATTCTTTTGACTGGACTTGAAGAGACTGCTCACAACCAGATTTGTTAAATCTTTCAACCAATTACAGTTCAACAAGAAATTTTTTTTCATAAAATGCCCCTTCTCTTTTTCTCCACTGGTGCGGGCATATTTTAACATACATAAATTGTTGTGACAGTACTTTAGTCATATTAAGACATTTCTGGTTTTCATTCACGATTTCACGTTAGATGCAGGAAGTGCTATATTCAATACAAAACACAGCCAATAAAGAACTCTTACAGAAAAGAAAGCTAATTCCCCATGGAAAAGTGAACTGCCTATATAGGCAGTTATTAGACAGTTCTTTAGCAGTTTTGCAAATTTTAAGCAGTTTTCAAACAGTTTCAGGCAGTTTGGCTTTTTCTGTTCTTTTGTGACTGCTAGTGCCATTGGAGTAAACAGTTTTCCATAGCAGTTTTTAAGCAGTAATCAGTTTCCCTAGCAGTTATATCTTGGTCGCCTGTGCTTGAGGAGAAGACAGTTTTCCTAAGCAGTTTTGTAAGCAGTTACCTTGTACAATTTGATTGGGTTCAAGAGAAATTTTAATGTTGGGCTCAATGATCAACAAATATAAACAACAGGAACCCAACAACAGACCGCCAAAATTCAATTTTTGGCTGCCATGTTGTATTTGGACAAAGGCTATAAAGCATCAAGTGGGAGCCTGCTGGCCACAATTGATCTTCATGCAAGCTGCTGTTTTTTCAAAACTTGCAGCAGCTTTAGCCTGTTTAGGGCAGATCTGAAACAAACACTACAGAGTTGGGAAAAAACTACTCGTAAAATCTACTTAAAAAGTGAATACATTAAAACACGGTGATAATAAATTGAGGCTTACAACGAAGTGATTTCAATTCATTGTAGCTTTAAAATGTATAAAATACTTTGAGTTAATGGATATAACAAATTTACTTGATAATGAAGCAAAATTGTCTGTCCTTAGCACTTCATTATAAGCATGTTTTACTGTACATAGAAAAGAGATTATAGGGAAAAAAACTTTAATCCATTCTTAAGGATCAGAGATTCCTGTGTGGTCCAGTGAGCATTGGAGAATGATAACAGGGCTGAATAGACCAACAGCTGATGCTCCATCTTGGCTAGAGGTAGGTAACCTGTGAACATTTACATTTATATACAGTCACTATAGAACTGGATCATCATAGAGAAGTTGTTAGGAGGGAGCAAGTATTTTGGCCTGTATGTATGTTATAATTCTGACTGACAAACTGTAATATAACATTAGACTGACCAACTGTTATGTAATATCTGACTGACAAAATGTAATATCTAACTGACAGAAGGTAATGCAATATCTGACTGACATAATTTAATGCAATATCTGACTGACAGAAGGTAATATCTGACTGACAAAAAGTAATATAATATTTGACTGACAAATTGTATTGTAATATTTGACTGACAAACTGTAATATAACATTAGACTGACCAACTGTTATGTAATATCTGACTGACAAAATGTAATGTTATATCTGACTGACAGAATGTAATATCAGGCTGGTAAAATGTTATGTCATATCTGACTGACAAAATGTTATGTAATATCTGAATGGCATACTGTTATGTAAAATCTTAATGACATAAAATTGTTATGTACTATATCTGATTAAAAAAACTGTTATATGAATTACTGACAAACTGTATTGTAATAATTAATTACAAACTGTAATGCAATTATTGACTGACTTACTGTTTTATAATATTTGACTTGTAGTGTAGTGTAGTGTTATATTTGACTAACAAACTGTAATGTAATATTTGACTGACTCAAAGTGTAATATAATATTTGACTTACATAGTGTAGTGTAATATTTGACTAACAAACTGTAATGTAATATTTGACTGACACAAAGTGTAATATAATATTTGACTGACACAAAGTGTAATATAATATTTGACTTCCATAGTATAATGTTACATAATATTTGACTGACAAACTCAATTGTAATATTTGATTGACAAACTGTAATGTAATATTTGATTGACAAACTGTAATGTAATATTTGACTGACAAACTGTAATGTAATATTTGACTGACAAATTGTATTGTAATATTTGACTGACAAACTGTAATATTTAACTGACAAAGTGTAATGTAATATTTGACTGACAAACTCTATTGTAATATTTGACTGACAAACTGTAATGTTATATTTGACTGACAATTTATAATGTAATATTTGACTGACAAACTGTAATGTAATATTTGACTTACAAACTGTAACTTGTTTTCCTGTGTTTACAGTTACCAGACAACAGAGACCGGTGTTTGTATCTCAGTAATCTCCCTGCTAGCTCCACTACACAGAAACTGGAGGCCATACTAGAAATGGATGCTGACTGTAACCTACAGGAAGTCTGTCTGATGAAGGTTTGTCTCACACAATTATCCACCTTTTTGAACAAATAACATTGTTTAATATGTAAATTACATTTCAATTTGTTTCTGACTCTTTATCATAGACAATTTCTTGTTATATCTGTCAACAAAACATCAAAAAGTCGTGTCCTTGAAACTTTTACAAAACTAAAAAGTTAAGTATATTCATTTCTGCTAAATGTCAATTACCTGGTACATCCTAGTCCCCTTGAAATTGTTGTGAAAAATTGCTTATTTTGAATAAAACTAAATTCGAAGTCTCATTATTTTTGCAATAAAATATCAGTTAAATTGAAATCACTTAATTTGAATTATCACCATTTTGAAGTCAATTATTGGTTTACTGAGCTGATAATGAGTGGTTTTTATATTGAGTTCTGTTGAACTTCTCCTCCTGGCCAGTCATTGTCACGGTTATTGACATATCATATGCTGAGGTGTCAGTAGATATATTTTCATGATTTGACATCAGTAATATATTTTCACTGCAGATTTTTTAATTAGAAATAATTACTGAGAGGATCTTGCAGAGACAGAAATTGTTGTAATGCCTCTGGTATCTCATTCTATATTGACATCACTTTTGAACACATTCTTGTGTAAGCTGCTAATCCCCAATAATGAAAAACCTTGACTTTACATATAATTAAAATGAATTAATGTTGGCCATAATAAAAAATGGGATATAAATCCAAATTTTGCAATGTATTTTTGGAAATCCGAGCATACACTAGCAATGATACACTTTACAAGCAGCTAATGCCACTGTTGTTGAAACCTCGAAGTCCAGCGATAATTTTGAACTTTTTTTATATTGAAAAAAATGTGTTGGTCCCTTGAATTTTAATATATCCAAAGTAGTCTGTATGTAGTAAGTTTCATGTTATCATCAAGAAATATCAAAAATGCACACCATTAGGCTTCTGTTGATTTAGTAATAGAATATACACTCGTCAGTATGTCGATACAATGGGGGGGGGGGGGGGTGCTGATATTTTTGACAATTTTAATACTGCAAAATCTGAACATAATCAAAAAAGAAAGGTGAATGTTTTTTTTTTTTAAAACTGTTTCAGCCTTATTTTTTTTATTAGTTCACCTCGACAAAGTCATGATGAGCTTATGTTATACCCCCAGCATTGGCATCCAAGTTAAAGTTTTAGGAGCAATTTAAGTTCATTCCCAAGTAACTAAAAGTCCTGCCTGGACCAAACTAGGGATGGACACTACCACACTTGCTTCAAATGCTGGATCTGACCTAGATTACCAGATGTGTGACCAGATTAAAGTTTTTGGAGCAGGTACCTAACTATAAGCCCTACCTCGGGTGCTGGATCTAGCCTAGATTTTCCAGATAAGTGACCAGGTTAAGGTTTTTGGAACAGGTCCTTTCCCAGGTAACTATAAGCCCTATCTGGACCAACTTGCTTGAATGATGCATCTAGAGATGTACACTAACCAACATGCTTCAGATGCTGGATCTGACCTAGATTTTCCACATGAGTTACATTGTAATTTTAGCCATATTTTAATCAAATTAGCATGAGTGATGTATCTAGGGATGGACACTTTCAGACTTGCTTTGGATTCTGAATCTGACCTAGCTACATTTTCCAGATGAGTGACCAGGGTAATGTTTTTGGAGTAGCTATATAATATTATGGCCTGTTATGATTAAACTTGCATAGATGATGCATCTAAGGTAACCATTGATGCATCTAAGGTAACCATTGTATTTTACAAAAACCATTATGACAAGCCATAAATGAACAATTTTTTTCAAATCCTTACCTCGTACAGTTCTCAAGCTGTAAGGTGTGACAGACAGACAGGCAAACAGACAGTGGGGAAATTGATCCCTAAGCGTCATTCTGCTCTGCAGGTGACACGATAAGTTGGTGTTCATACCTTGAATAATATTAACCTAAAACACTGAGATTTATTTTTTGGTATTGGCAGGACCCAGTGACTCGGAGTGTTAGTGGTGTTGGGTGGGCACTGATGGCAGATGAAGAGTCGCTACAGAAAGCAGTGGATTTCTACAACTCAGGAGAGGTCACAAAAAAATCTCTACAGGAATCAGTTTGAAGAGGCTTTGCTGTATTGTGTCCTTTAATTAAAGTTTAAAAAAAAAAGTATTAATCTTTTTAAAATGAATTTTCTTGCAGGCAAAGGTCTTTGGACAATCCTTTATTATATCAAGGGTGAAAGTAAAAGTAGATGATGATGAACATTCAGTGGCAGCTCAGAAGGCCAAGTAAGTTACTGTTGTTAATTTCATCATAATCTCTTTCAGAGCCATTTTCATCTGACTACAGGTTTGTTAATTATATGAGAAAAATTAAATCCAAGAGTCCTCTTTATTTGTTCATAGCTGAACATTTGTAAACTTTTGACCTTTTTTTTTTTTTTTGCTTCCCCATCACCATATGCATGGGGCAAATTGGCACAATTTAAGCATTTTTAGATGATGAAAATGTTGTAATGAGAGGCCATTCCTCTTCCAAATGAAGATACAATTAAGAGAGAGTGAAGATACAGTGGGGCCATTCAAAAAAATAATTATAAAACACTGCAAAAGAAATAATAGAACTTAATTAGGTTGTGCTTTATAGTTAATAAGGTCCCTGGGATTGAGAATTGGCTACTGAAGAAGGAGTCTGAAGTTTTACATTGAAATGTTTTTGGAAGTGTCATCTCGATATCTAGAAGAATCAAATTGTTTTACGCTAACAGGCATCTTAATGTAAAGAAGGAGGCAGGGACTAGGGATGGGGTCATAATGAGGGCTCCAAAGTTTAACAAAGAGATTATGTAATGGAAAACTTTAAAAATCATCTTCTCAATTCACAAGGCTACAAAATGCCAAATTTGAAGCATTTTGTAGTGAAATTTTGAAATTGTTCAATTTTTGACCCCAAGGATAGGCAAAGCACACAGCAGAGGTCCAGATTTTACAAAGAAATGTATATACATTTTTTTTATTGTATAGGGAAGGTCTTTAAAGGTGTTTTTCCCAAGTATTGGATAAAAACAGTCAAATTAGATATCCATTTATTTTCATGCTGTGTAGAATATCTCACTGAATATGTTTGTTGGATTTTGAGGGGGTGGGGTGGGGGGGCATATTTTATCATGTCATAATTAAGTGGAGATAGGTACAAGTCCTCAAGTTTACAAAGGGACAGATAAAAATAAAGAGAACTTTAATATAAGGTCACTCAGAAAGAAACCTACCTGTTTCACTCCAGTGACTAGTAAGGCTTATGAGAATTTTGTTATGCATAAACATCTTTTACCTGAACAAAAAAAGAGCAACAATAATTTTTATAACAAGTCACCATTATAAATGCAGTATACATCATTTTGATATGTAATCAAACAGGGAAGACCTAGAGTTGAGAATGAAGTTAAGACAAAAAGAGGAGCAGGACCTTAGACGGTTAATTCAGAGGACAACAGAAGAGTCTTGGAAACGCCATGCCTACCGACTAGCCCACCCAGCCTACGCTGACGGCAGGATCTGGTAGTCAAGGCAACAAGGAGCATAACTCTGTTGAGGCAGCAGTGGTATACATGTCCATCAGTTGTGATTTATCTATTTTATGTTCTAATGAAAAACAGATACTTCCATTTCAAATATGAGGATAGCAATTAGAAGCGTGAACAACATCCAGTTGAGATGGTGAATCAGATGTAGTTTATACAGTATAATTAATGTTTATTCAATTGCACTTCGACAAGGAACACAAATTAAAGATTACTTTTCATTATATACCTTAATTGCCGTTTAGTGTGATAATTTGAAATTAATGCCTTGTTTTTTCCTTACATGTCTCATTTCAAGAACTCTGTGATATTTCTTTTTGTTTATTCATTACTTACTATAACAGAGTTAATTGTAAGATGGTAATGGTTTTTCTGTTTCCTTGTCCACAAAATAATTCACAAGCTTTGAGAGTATTAAGATATTTGAGAGAAAGGCAATGACATATTAGAGGTCATCAAACTTGGATGATATTTATTTTATTTCAGTAATTGCCCCTGTTAATTTGAATCTCAGCATTGTTTAATGTTTGAAATATCACACTTTGAATCATTGTACTTGTCTTTGTTGAATTCTTTGAAAAAATTATGTTCCAAATGATCTAGTCTTTGTCTTATGTCTAACTTTGCTTGGTGTCTTTGTTGTTATGCTTATGTCTTTTGTTAATTAATGTCTATGTATAGCTGGTATTTTTTTATTTGTCTCGTGTTTGTGTCTTTATTTACTTAATCTTGGCAATCTTCAATTAGTTCCTTTATCTTCCGGAATTTTGTGTTTCTTTTATACAGGATCTGTGATTAAGGTAGAATTGTCTTTCATCCATTTTGACTAAATATGTCTTTTATATGGGATTTTTGATTAAAGTAGAATTGTCATATTGTCTAATTTGACTGGCAATTCTGTTTTAAAGGATCTGTAATTACAGTAGACTTTTCTTTTGTCTATTTTGACTGGTGTCTTTTGTGTAGGATCTGTGATTAGGGTAGAATTATGTCTCCCCTTCCAGGGGAGACATATTGTTTTTGTCGATTTTCTTCTTCTTCTTCTTATTCTTCTTCTTCATCCAAATTTTGTCCAGGCCGTAACTTTAATACCCTTTGACATTAAGACTTCAAACTTGGAACATAGATAGATGACATTGAGAAGGAGTGCACGCCACCAACATTTTTGACCTTGACCTATTTAAAAGGTCAAGGTCAATCTTTTACATCAAAATAGAGTTTAGCCCATAACTTGAGATCCCTTTGATATTAGGACTTCAAACTTGTAACATAGGAAGAAGACCTTGAGACAAAATGCACTGCATTAGAATTTTGACCTTGACCCCTTTCTGCCTTCAAGGTCAAATAGGGAAAAAACACGATCTGACCTAACTTGAGAACCTTTTGACATTAAGACTTCAAACTTGGAACATGCAGAGGTGGTATAAAGGAGGGATGCATGCCACCAAAATTTTTGACCTTGATTCAATTATTATAAGGTCAAGGTCAATCTTTTACATCAAAATAGAGTCCAAGCCATAGCTTGAGTACCCTTTGATATTAGGACTTCAAACTTGTAATATAGAAAGAAGACATTGATACAAGATGCAACACACCAAAATTTTTGACCTTGACCTCTTTTCTTCCTCAAGGTCAAATAGGGAAAAAACTTGATTAGACCATTACTTAAGAATCCTTTGTTATAAAGACTTCAGACATGGAACATGCAGAAGTGGTATGAAGGAAGGATGCATGCCACCACAATTTTTGACCTTGATCCAATTATTATAATGTCATGGTCAATCTTTTACATCAAAATAGAGTCCAGGCCTTAGCTTGAGTACCCTTTGATATTAGGACTTCAAACTTGTAACATAGAAAGAAGACATTGTTACAAGATGCAATGCTTCAAAATTTTGACCTTGACCCCTTTCTTCAAGGTCAAATAGAGAAAACATGACTAGACCATAACTTGAGAACCCTGACATTAAGACTTCAAACTTGGAACATGGAGAGGTGGTATAGAGGAAGGGTGAATGGCAACATTTTTTCACCTTGACCTATTAATAAAGTCAAGGTCAATCGTTTACATGAAAATATAGTCTAGGTCATAACTTGAGAACTTTTTGACATTAAGATTTCAAACTTGGAACAAGGAAAGACAACATTGAGACTAAATGTACTGCATCAAAATATTTGACCTTGACCACTTTCTTCAAGGTCAAATTAAGAAAAACACAACCAGACCATTACTTGAGATGCGTTTGACATGAAGACTTGAAATTTTGTACACAGAATTTGAGTTGAGATGCACTGCATTATTATTTTTGACCTGATCATATATTTGCACTTGTTAATGTTGGTAAAGAAGGGGAGACATGTGTTTTTTTGTTAAAAAAACAATACCCACTAGTTGTCTTTTGTGACTCACTGTTTGGGTCTTTAGTAGTGTGTCTGTCTTAGACTATAGTTTCTGTATATTACTCTGTTTTTGATCCAGTCTGTTGTCATTTCAGTCCTTGAATGGCTGAACCTCTTTTCCAGTTTTCTTGTGTCTACATTACACTCTTTTGTCCTTGATTGTTTGTCATTATAAGTTATTTCCTCGGAGTCGTTGTGGATTTCGACATTTACATATATAGAGAGGTGTTTAATTAGTCTTCATTTAAATGGTTGTTAAGTGGCCAGTGAGCATGTTTATGAAGGTATCTTGAGACTAACATTTGTCCTAAGATAGTTTCTTGAATCCGTCCCAACTTACATCTAGATATACTGTAAATTCCTAAATATACACTAGGAATAAATTATCGCGTAATTACGCGAGAAGCACCACTCGCGAAATAAATTTACTCGCTTTTATTTTTATGGTGCTTTAATGTATGTAAAATCTCTAGAAAAATCACCGATTCACGAATTATTGTTCCCGTGATTTGACGCCCTTGGGTCATTTCGCGATATTAAGTACTCGCGTAAAATAAGGAATTTACAGTAATATACATATACAACACATATACACAATATACAGAAGCACTTGCGAGTGCATAAAGCAAGATAAATTCAGGTTTTTTGGTCAAAAACAGAGCTCACATAGACACGTCCATCTTGTAGCCCGTCACGTGACCTCCTCCATCCTTAATACACTTAATAAAAAAAATAAAAGAACAAAATCTTAAGCATTAATTCTGTGTTAATTTTTCAAATTTTTACATAATTCTGGCTGTCAATTTTCTATGAGGCGCCATTTTCATATTTTTGAGGTATTTTTTGATATCAAAAAAAGAATTTTTGATATCATTAATTCGAATTCTTGATATCAAAAAATAATTTTTGATATCAAGAATTTGAATTTTTGATATCAGAAAATGATTTTCTGATATCAAAAATTCGATTTTTGATATCAGAAATTAATGTAGATTTTCTGATATCAGAAAATCGAATTCTTGATATCAAAAAATCATTTTCTGATATCAGAAAATTGATTTTTTGATATCAGAAAATAAATTTCTAATATCAAAAAATGCTTTCGAATTTTTGATATCAAAAAATCAATTTTTTGATAGCAGAAAATATGAGTGAAATAAATAGAACTTACATTAATAAATGCACCCTTATTCTGTATCAACGATTAGTTTACTTGTATTAGTGTTATCTTGAATACCAATCCCGCTGCAACATTGTATGTAATGTTTACTGTGATTAGTGTTATAACTTCATAGTTGATTGTCTAGCCTAAAGCCTTGTGTTTTTTAATAAAATTTTTGTATAGATCAATGTAGAGAAATAAATGTATATACATAAATTGATACATGCATTTACAATGCTGGTAAGTTTGAAATGTCCGAATTCCAAATAAGTCTTGAAGCCTCCTTGAGTTGTAATGACGAGATTCGTAGGAAATGACAGTAGAAATGAATAGAGTAATTAACACTTTATGCATGCAGTAAGTTCTCTTTACATCATAAACACCGAAACTTGTAACCCTCATTTTGTAACATATACAAGTTCGCCTTTCCACTGATCTATAGAAAATAGTAAGAAACCAAAACACGGGGGAGCCCTACTTCTGTGAAAACAATCTTGGGGAGAATAGATTATCTATATGAGCCTAAACACTAATATTTGTTGAATTTCTGATATCAAAAAATTGATTTTGTGATATCAAAAAATCCAGTTGAATTTCTGATATCGCAAAATGATTTTTTGATATCAGAAATTCGAATTTTTGATATAAAAAAAAAATGATTTTTTGATATCAGAAATTCAAATTTTTTATATCAAAAAATCTCGCTTATTTTTTTTATATCAAAAAATATATTTTCTGATATCAGAAAATGATTTTTTGATATCAAAAATTCGAATTGCTGATATCAAAAAATCATTTTGCGATATCAGAAAATACCTAAAAAATATTAAAAAGGTGCCTCATAACTTTCAACAAAGTTTCTACTTTCACTTTCATATCAAGATCGTACATAAATATGCAAACATAACTATTAACAATTATCCCAAGAAATACGAAATAATTAAATAAATAAATGTAAGTAAGAAATAAAATTCATATGTTCAACATATGAAAAACATATGAACATAAACATATATGTGAAACATATGATCATACAAAACATATAAGCAATATATGTTAAACGTATGATGAACATATGTATAGAAACATTTTGATCTGACAAATGTTGCTCGTTTTCTTATGGCGAACATATGTTTTGGAACATACAATAAATGTGTGTCGAACATACGTTGCAATTTTACCTGTGTATAGGATGTCTTTAAGTTATAATCAAAATAGTTTTTGAGATGTGTCCTAGATGTAACCTTTTTAGCTCACCTGAGCCAAAGGCTCAAGTGAGCTTTTCTGATCAAAATTTGTCCGTTGTCTGTCGTCGTCGTTGTCGTAAACTTTTCACATTTTCATCTTCTTCTCAAGAACCACTGGGCGAAATTCAACCAAACTTGCCACAAAGCATCCTTGGGTAAAGGGGATTCAAGTTTGTTCAAATGAAGGGCCACGCCCTCTTTCAAGGGGAGATATTTAGGAATTAGTGAAAAAATAATGGCATCATTTAAAAATCTTCTCAAGAACCACTGGGCCAGGAAAGATGAAACTTATGTGGAAATATCCTCAGGTAGTGTAGATTCAAGTTTATTCAAATCATGACCCCCGGGGGTAGGGTGGGACCACAATGGGGGATCCAAGTTTTACATAGAAATATATAGGAAAATATCTTTAAAAATCTTCTTCTTAAGAACAGTAAAGCCAAGATTGGTCATATTTATATGGAAGCATCCTCGGGTAGTGTAGATTCAAGTTTGTTCAAATCATGACCTCCGGGGGTAGGGTGGGGCCACAATGAGGGATCCAAGTTTTACATAGAAATATATAGGAAAATATCTTTAAAAATCTTCTTCTTAAGAACAGTAAAGCCAAGATTGGTCATATTTATATGGAAGCATCCTCGGGTAGTGTAGATTCAAGTTTGTTCAAATCATGACCTCCGGGGGTAGGGTGGGGCCACAATGAGGGATCCAAGTTTTACATAGAAATATATAGGAAAATATCTTTAAAAATCTTCTTCTTAAGAACAGTAAAGCCAAGATTGGTCATAT